TTGCGAAATTTGGGCCTGGAAGTGAAGTTCTCGCAGGCAGCGGAGCCACATGTTTTTGTAGGGAAGGTACCACTGTGCTTCATGGAAAAGGAGAATAATGAGCTCAGGCGGGGGAGACCATCCGTTATCAAGCCTATCGTTGAGGTAAGAGTTCTGAAACCTCTGTATTAAAAAGGTCATATTATGCTTTTTGGTCCATTCCCTCTCCTTTATTGAGTTATATACCTTTGTGCATGTAATAGGTTTGCAAAGTGAAAAAGCCCTAAAACGAAGCATTCAACACACAGGGGGTAAAGAGGAGCTGCAGCAATGTGCAGTATGACAAAAATATGGTGTTTTTTGAAATTAAAACCATGTAAACCTGTTCTGGTACAACCCCTAAATAAGATTTTGAACCTGAAAATGAGCATAATATGACCTCTTTAAGACCATCTATTGTATTACTCATTTAGCCAAATGATCGTTTTAATTCTATCCCCTCATGTTTTGCATTTTGCTTTTTCTCTATTATTACACATCAGGAGTATCTCCGAGAGCAGATTGAGGTAAGCTTGGAAGTGTCTTTCTGGCCCCTAAACCTTTTTGTGTGAAGTGTCTTTATTACTTAATAGGTAACTTGTATAGTTTCTTATTGTCTCAGTTACTATGCTCAACTGGTAGAGTGAAAGGAACTCTCCCTCTCACTGTGATGAAGGTGCTAGCCTCCCTAGCATGCCACGGTAAGGTTAAATTACTTCTCTCCATACTTCTTTCTTTTTAGTGCAACGTTGATTCAATAAATGACAGTTATTTACACAGGAATCTTCATAGAAATCACATATATACATTCAACAGGTGCCATCAAATTCAATGACAGTCTGAGTAGAGATGAATGCTACAGCTTGGCGGCATCCTTGGCTTCCTGCCAGCTGCCCTTCCAGTGTGCCCATGGCCGTCCATCCATTGCTCCTTTAGTAGACATCCTCCATTTGGACAAAGACCAGAAGGTAACAGAACGGAGTAGAACATTTGTACTAAATGTAGTATTCAAGGCATTATACAGCACAGGAATCTGGTGGTGACTAAGCATTTTTGTCCCTGCAGGAATTACAGAAACCCAACCTTCAGAAGCTGAGAAGAATGTATAAAGCGTGGGAACTATATGGCAATAGATAGGCGGGTGTGTATTTTATTTTAAATGTGCAGTTTAATGTCAACAAAATGAATTGTAACTTGTAAAAATTCCCTATTAAATGGCTCAAATAGTCACATTCTCCTGAAAGCCCTGTAGCCCACCTTTTGTCCTTACTAAAGCAACTTAAATTTATAAGAAGACATATTGTCAGACATAAATAACATTTAGTTTTGTCAGTACAATAAAAGAGGAAATTCTACAATAAATTACCTATGATGCATCATCAGAAAAATTGGAAAAGGTTCATTGTAGTTGATTGTAGAAATGTGCAATCCCTCAGGTTGTACTTAATATACATATTCAGTGAATCAACTTCTTTGCCTTGAAGAATCGTCTTAAATAGACAACTTGCCACGTGGTCAGTGCACCCGAACTGCACATGTAGTTGATACAGCACTCATGTATTGGTGGAAGCTGTTGAAGATAGCATAACATATAGTTAAATATTATCTAAATGTTTTTTTCAACACTTGAGTCAACTTGATGGTCACAACTAGCAATGAATCACACAGTGGAGAAAATTGCTGCAACTCTGAATTTAAACCCTCTAGCTTGTTTATCCTTGGCACACCCCACACAGCATGTGATTCCCATCTGACGTTAAAGGCAAAACACATGCAATGACGCACACATACACACATACTGTATAGGGATTCGGCCAAAAAGAGAAAACTGCTAGTAAATTTAAACCCATAGAGAGCAGTGCAGCTGCAATTTTCCGCCAAAGTGGTGAATTACACTAAACATATTGCTCTAGCCGTTTACCATTTGTGTCTTTCTTCTCTTTCCCGTGTTTCTTCGAGTAGTTGTAGTCAAGACCGCCCAAACCAAGACCAAGTCAAGACAAAGACCAGTTCCCCACATTACATGACACACAATAAAATGTGGAATGAGATTATAGCTACTTATCAAATTGATCTGAAGGATGCACATTCCCATTAAAACACCCACATACAAACACTAAGAGCTGAAATCAACTTAAGCATCTTTATTCAACACTCCTTTTCCATGTTTACCATCCACTTAACACTAGAACTTGGCGAGATGGTCAAAAATGTTATCGCAATAAAAAATGTCATCATTCGATATCGATAATTAACACAATAAATGTCAAATCATTATGTTTTTCAAATATTTAGCCTTAATGTGGGAGCTGTATGCAGCTGACAAGTAGCTAAAGGTGATGTAACTTAACTTACACATTAGCTACATGTATACTATGCTACATGTTCTTCTGGATGCTGTTTGACAGATTAATTCTTTATAGTTTAGAGTTCTATAGTTTAGAGCTAAATGTTATTACGAAGATTTTGTTGACATATCTTCCTGCTCCCAGACAGCCACAGTTTCTCCTGTCTCCCCCATTCACTTTTTTGCAGTGTGTGTGAAGGGGGACGGTAAGGGGTGACAGCCGTTAACGGTAACAACACATTTTTTATTAGGGTTGTTGGTTTCATTTGCAAAATGTTTGCAAAATGTTTTACATCCAATCAAAGTAATAATGTTAACAAATTCATCAGACAATGCAAAAGCAATTTATTGATATTCCCAAAGTTATGGACTTGACTGGTCTTGAAATAAAATCCCGAGTCCTCTACGTTCGAGACCGAGACGAGACCGAGTACAAATGTGGTTGAGTCCAAAATGAGACCATCAAAAAGTGGTCTTAAGACCAGTCTCGAGTGCTTCAACACTAATTAAAGTTATCTGCAATGGACTGTGAGAGGTGCTCAAGATGTCTTAGCTGTGCTCCACTTTTTCAATCTGACAAAAGAGGTTGCTAGAGTGATATTTATCAAACATGTTCAGATCTTTCTGCATTTCTTACTGCTGTCAAAATGTTCATCAAGCATTGAATAATCAGTAGTTGTAGTTGGATGAATACTCATGACCTTTGATACAACAGTACAAACACAGTCCCTCACCTCTTCGTAGGTCGTTGCTTCCACGCCATGTTTCATGTTCAGTTTGACCAGTTGGTCTGGGGCCCTTCCACTGGCTAATGGCAAGCAACTTTCTTATGTTATTTGACAAAAATCGGATATTGGCATCACTTGGATCCCCCCAGTCATGCATCCTTGGCCTCCAGGCGACCACAAATAATCTATGTACTATTTGTCCATTTGACTTGGATATTCCCCTTTTCAACAGCGGTTCATTGAGAAAACGGTTGTATTTCTTTCATATTATTATTCATATTATTATTATTTTTCAAAACTACACTCACCCATTCGAGATCTGCTTTTGAAGCAAATGTCAAACTGGTCTGGATTTTCTGTCGTAAATGAAAATTTGCCTTTCGTGGCATTCTCCTTGGTGTACAGCGTGTACCCAAAAGAATCGCTGATCTGAGGAAACCGTTAACAGAGGGATTTGAAACTATCACTCAGCTATCAACTGGGTAGATCCTAAATGAGCCGCTGGGCCCACGAAGTCCTTTTTGGAGTGACGCTGGATGATAAACCAAACAAACCAATATTATATTGATATCTTTATATGAGATTATAAGTAGTATGATTAGTTGTGTTTCCTGATCTTGAAAGCTCCAAAACAAGAAAGTACTACATTACAATAAAGTTACACAATGTTCTTAGAATATAGTGTTAGACTGTCAGAATGAAGTGACATGCCTCTAACTTTTGGTGATTATATAATTTTCTTTGTGAACCCCACTCAAATTAATTACAAAAAAGAAAGACTTGGTCAAAGACATTGCTCAGAGTGGCCTCTGTAATCTAATAAAAGTAACACAATGTATTTGGAGTATTTACAATGTCTGTAGGCCTATGTATTGCAGGATGTAGGGGCATCCTAGCCTATGTCTATGGCATTTTGACATGAAAATACAAGGGACTCTTTGATCTGCCAAGACAGAGTGAAAAAGTTTGCCATATGTTACAGCTGCGGTGGGACACGTGCACGTACCTTCAAATTAGATATTGCTACCAATCCGTTGTTGTGATGGGAGTGAAGGATGATGCTGCTCCTGTCAAATGCAGCCCCCAGCCCCTCCTCCTCCTCCTCCTCCTCCTCCACGATCCTCCAGTTCCGGGTCGTGTCACGTGGCTTCTCCGCCCCCACATGTCAAATCTCTTCTCCTCCTCCTCCCCAAGTAAACAATTCAGCATCATTTCATTATGTCTGCTAGCAGCCATCGATTCTTATCTTTGGAAAAGGCAGTCCCAAAGTGCTGAGCTTATCGAGACACAGCCAGACGATTAGGGTAAAAAAGATATCAAATGTGTTTTATAAAAATAAAATGGGTAAAAGAGCCTACAGATGTATACGACATAGTTTTGAAATGGTCGTGCAAAATGCGTCGCGTCGACTTTGCAATAAAATGAGCTTTTACATCAGGCTTAAACAAACCCAGTGGATGAAATTGGACTATTTATGTAGCCTGCTCTTAATGGCTTAAGTGTCTTTTACCCTTGATTCAATGAATGCACCAGAAAATCAAGTTTTCATTGGCTAAGAAATGGTTATGCCTATATGTGTATGTATAAATAGGCTCACGTTTCTCACCCCATTGCGTTCATATGAAGCCGATATTTGTGAATGGGAGTGAAACTGCTATTTGGCTTTCGTGCGGTACCAAGTTGTGACCCAATCTGACAAACAAAATATTAACATATTATTCATGGGGGAAATGTACAAGAGGGTAAATGTAAAAATATCACTAATTTACCCCGAAATGTATACTGTGTGTCTGTCAGCCTGACCCCCCTCCCCCTGCGCGGATGGTACAGTCTTAGTTCATTCATAAAATTCTAGCAGAGCATAAAAGGAGGGGCTTGCATTCTAGTCGTCCAGTTACCAGGTATATACCTGGAGAAAAGACCCGATACGCTCTGCCCAGCGGAAGGCCAGAGTTATATTTGTCATTGACCAGGACTTGTTTTTTTTTCTTTTTCTTCCTTGTGATGTATCATACCAGCCTGACGCCTGACATGGATTCAGTCTCTCCCACCTGCCGGACTGAGTCTCCTGTCGGGACGCTGTGCCAGAAGACGCCAGAAGAGGCGAGCTCTCCGGCTTCCTCCTCAGAGAGCAATGCAAAGGTATGGCTTTGTTGACCATATATTCAACATGCCGCCCAAGAGGCACTCCGTTTACAAGCAGATTTAACATCCCTTTTTTATGGGTGATCCACGGACTGCCCTGATGCTTCTTCGCGGTGGGGGGAGGGGGAGGTGGAACTGATTGATAAGATTTTAATTAACTGGGTGCGCGTAATTTTTCAACATAATTTTTGATACATTTGTATAGCGTTTATATTTGGACCCAAGATCCATGCAGGTGGAAGTGTGAGCAAATAGCAGCTTTGCTCGGTTTGTTTTGATTCCCACGTCCTGGGACCAAATGTGAGCGTGTCGATGCAGCGGTTCATTGAGAAAAATAAATCCATTCAGGAGACTCCACAGCATCCCTGCGTCAGTGTTGACGTCAGAAACAATGATAAAGTCAAATATTGATCTGTAGAAGGCTATTTCTGGTTGGGTATATTTCGAGAAAAAATACTACATCCAGGCTATCCTCTGTTTCAGACTCTAAACATATGAGGTTTTATTGATGGTTGTCATCACAGTAAGATCCACTTAACTATTAATAGCATGGAATATATATATTTAATTAAAACATTAGTCTCTATTATAGTCCTCATTGTCAATTATTTCCATTTTTTTCAGGAGCTCTGCCAAGAAATGAGCATTCAAGACACTCCATTTGTTCCAACAGTCACTGCAATTTCCTCTACCCCAGATTTCCAGTGGATGGTCCAGCCTACAATTATTACATCTGTCTCCCCATCTCTGGGTAGCAAGCAAGCCAATGAACCACAAAGCTCTCACCAGGCAACACCCAAAGAGGGCGGGAATAAGGGAAAAAATGCTGTCAGAAAAGGGAAAACAGATCAGGTAGGTTTGCTCAGATGAAGTCTACCTGCTATTGGACAGAATAGTCAATAGTGTAAATTTACATATGTCAATCTGAATTCCTTGTGTGCAACAGTGCTATTGTGCATGCTCCTCTGGTGCCGTGTGCTGGCTGTGTGCCTTCCTTAGGCAGTCAATTTAAATTCAGGTCACAGCAAGTCTGCAACAATGGTCTATTTTTAGACGCATTGCAGTGAAACATGCTTTTACCATTCTTCAGAGGGTGAATTGGCAAAGTATGTGGTGGATTAAGGGATGAAATGGGTGGATCCTTCAAGGTAATAACTGAATTGTATATTTTACATCCCAGCTGTCTCCAGAGGAGGAAGAGAAAAAGAGGATAAGGAGGGAGAGGAATAAAATGGCTGCAGCAAAGTGTCGCAACAGACGGAGGGAACTCACGGACACACTGCAAGCTGTAAGTAAACAGTGATGCATTTACTCAGCTGTCATTTGCACCCACTGTGTTTTCCACTGTGGATGATTGTGGATGTCGATCTATCTGAAGGAGACAGACAAGCTGGAGGAGGAAAAAGCAGCCCTGGAGACGGAAATAGCCAACCTCCTCAAAGAGAAAGAACGGCTTGAATTTATCCTTGCCACACATAAACCAGTGTGCCAGATGTCAGAAGAGCTGGAGTCTATTTTCCAGGAGCCCACGGGGTCTCCAGAGCTACCGCTCAGTCCAGGCGACGACAGACTTCCAGATGATGGCACCCAGGAGGCTCCTTCGCTCCAGGACATGGACATCCCCAGTGATCCGTCCACAGCCATCTCTGGGAACTCCAATATCTTGCTGTGTGCCAGTGCTGAAATAAACATCTGCGATCTCGAGCCCTCTCTGGACATGAAGGAGGGGCTACTGGAAAATATGTTACCCAGTTTGGAGGACAAAACCCCGATGGAGACGGCTCGATCCGTGCCAGACATAGATCTGAGCAGCTCTCTCGGGGTCTCGGACTGGGAGACCCTGTATAAGTCTGTTTCCAGCGACCTGGAGCCTCTCAGCACTCCCGTGGTGACCTCCACCCCCACCTGCAGCAGCTACCTGTCTGTGTTCACGTTTGCGTGTCCTGAGCTGGACTCTCTCACAGAGGGACTAGACAGCCATAAAGGTGGAGGGGGCAAAGCAGAATCTGTCGACATCCTCAACTCTCCAACTCTCCTAGCCTTATAACGTACAGAGGGAAGTGCTCTGTCTGATCTGGTTCCTGACTTTGAAATGATGCGAAACAACATATGCCACAGTATGCTGTAACACTTCAAGGAATACATTCATGAAATGTCTTGTGTTTGACTAAGCAAACATGTAAACTTTCTCCAGATACATAGCCAACAGAGGGATGTAGCTAAAAGCATGGCTCTTACTTTTAAAGGAGGGACTGAAGGAAGTTTTGATTTTAAAACGCATGCTGAGAAATGCCAAATTATTTTCAAAGCATATATATATATATATGATCTGTTACTAGATCTAAGATGTAATGTGGGTTTTAATGTTACAGTATGGTTTTGTGTTTTGGAGTCAATAGTGTATTGATTGCTGTAAATGTTGTATTTACATATTCATCCATGTCAAGTACCTGCATACCTCAATGTCATCAACTGTGGTTTGACCTCATTGAAAGTTTTCCATGAAAACATCCAGTGCTATATACTATATATCTTATCAAGATGTAACTTATGGTTTATTTTTTTACCTTTCAGATTTTGACTTATTTGTTAAATTAAAAAAATAAGTGAAAATAAGCATTGATTGATCTATGCTGCTGAGTAATTACAATAAACCTACATTCAGAGTGGTGTTTGGTGCTGCTGTTTGCAACCCCTCGCTAAAAAATCTATTCCTTAATCAAGAGAAAAAACATTAAAATGATCAGCTGGGATGTTAACTTTATTCATTATTTAAATGACACACAGTAATGTATAGCATGCATATGCTGTGTAAGGCAGAGTTAAAGTAAAAGTGCTTTTCAAGTTTTGCACACAACATTTAAATTGATTTAGCTTATAATCCATTCGGCATTTGCTTTGGGGCTCACAGGAGATGAGTGGTCGCACTGTATTTCCAGTGCAGGCCTCCGCCTGAGCCACATTCTGTCTTTGCAGTTTGCAGCCTCAGTGTTTCTTTATGGGAGGAGCGGTGCGACTTCCCCACTTCTGCCCCCACTATGTAGGCTACTTTTTTACATCCCTGCTTACGTTTGGCTGGCATAGCCCAAGTTCCGCATTCCCAAATCCTCCCAGATTGGGATCACGTTTAAAATCGGGCTGATGCAACGATTTCCACTTTTTAAAATCTACTCTCGACCATCGGCTGACCAGAAGAAAGGACATTTGTTGCACCTGGGATCAAAGTCAGGTCAGTATACAAAACTTAATAAGTCGAGGACTGAATTCATTTTTTACGTATAGCCTACTAACGCGCCACGCATAGGTCATAACGAGCATAGTAAGTGAACAGGCAGCGAGCATGTCTGTGATGTGTTCGGTTATAACGTGCTATTCGCTGCATTCTCTGAGTTTGACGTGCCTTTGGCGTTCAAAGTTGATCTGACATATTATGGAGAATGCTACAGAAAGATCATTTTCTTTTGTTTGCATGCTCCTCTTACATGAAATCGCAGCGTGCACAATTCAGAACAAAATGTTCCTATTTAGTGTTGTCTGTCCTTTACATTGGCGTTGTGCATTTGTTCTTAAAATGTGGTGGATCGCAAGCGAAAACCGTCCCGAGCGCAAAGCTGTAACATTTTATCACTGCAGCTCTCTGATGGGAAGACAAAGTTACGTAAGATAAATGCCGCACTGAAGAAAAACTTCCGCTTTCAAGTTGACCAGTGGCTTCAGTATGCATGCTGCAACACAATGTAGTCGACTTAGGATGACTACTAGGCTACTATTCCCAAAGTACTGCAAATGCATGTCCATAAATTATCATTTGGGGCTTTCTCATGTAAAAAAAGTGCACAGAGTTAAAAACTAATAGCCTAATAATAGTACAGACTGATCAAGTTAATTGGCTTCTTGGACCTTAAGAGACACTTATCATTAGAAGATAATGTGTACCTGTTTTAATAATACCTACACTGTGGGCCATGATGTATTCAAATTGCACTCATTGGTCAATATTGTAGAATGCTTTGGAGTCCTCTTTCTTAAAATGTTTAAGAACCATGGTATGGTGTTTTGCTTTGTTATTATTTTTTCAAATTTCTAATGCATGTTTAGGCTATACATTACCTCAATTTAACTGTACGTTCTGCACCTTTTGTAAGACTTACTTTGCCTCTGGCCATCATGTGCCAAAAACCTGGCCTGCAGAGTTCCAATAGTTTGGGGAAGTGAAAAAAGTGAAAGTTATTCCCATGTGCATTTCTCATGTAAGTTCACACTTGCATAGCTATTTAGTAGATGCATAATTGTCTCTTCCCTTAATATTCCCATAGATCTGTCTCCACAGATGATAACAAGGCCAGGTGGCTGTTTTACTATAGTGATATGTATATCAGATAATGCTTGTTTATTCCTGTAGTGTGTGCTAAAGGTCTCTGAGTAGCTGACCTTAGATAGTAGTTTTTGGCAGCATCATGTGGCTTGGAATTCCGCTGAGCTGTTGTACTAATTTCCTGTGTCTTTGGCTGGCTTTGCTCACACACTCCTCTCTCATTGTCTTTGGATATATTTAAATGTTCATGGTCAGCATTTTTTAAATTGAGCCATTTGCCAGTGGTAGACTACAAAACATAGCAAGCAGTGACATCTTCAATTTTTCACTTGGCTGAACAAAACAAGTTAAGTCTGGGTTCAAACTTGACCACATTTTGCTGAAATTTGGCCGCTGCATTCTGCTCCCCTGGCATTAAGTGTCATAAGGAGGAAACCACCGTGTATGGGTATTTCTTGGCAATTGCTGGCTTTAGCCCTCCTTTAAATAAAGGGGAATTTGTATGAATCTGCTTTGTGCACTGTTGTTCATCTCTCTTTTGGCCTCTGGGGATTAAATGAGGTAAATTCTTGCCAAGAGCTCTGTAAGTGGTTGTATATTCATTCCAGAACAAAACAAGCAAAATAATAAAATAGCCTAATGAGAGCAGCATCCTGCTTCTATAACAGACCAGCAATTCATCACAGCAAGGCAAATCTGACCGCTAGAAAGGAGCAGTGCACCTCAGGCTAATGCTTTCTTGAAGCCCTGTAACAAACTTGAGGTCAAATAAAGTAGTAACACATCAATTTGCCTCTAACTTTTTAATGTTAAAATGGCTTTTTAAAAGTATGCCCCAGTATGTACTATAACAATGAGAGCAGACATGTTTTTTGTATTTTTCATTGATCTGGTTTAGTTGCAGTCTGAGTATGTCTCCCATTTTCTCCTTCTGCCTCCTAGCTGTGGTCACGACCGAGTCTGACACGATGCCAGGACAAATCCCAGACCCCTCTGTGACAGCAGGCTCCCTGCCCAGCCTGGGCCCACTGGCTGGGATCTCAGCCACCACGCTCACTGACAAGCTCAAATTCGGTGACTTCCAGGAGTTCGGTACAATGCTGTCGCCGCTGCACTTCCTGGACAGTCTAGGGAAGAGGCCCCTAGTGATCAAAACAGAGGTACAGGAAACACTGAGTACCTGATAATCAATAACTAGATCATGTAAATGTGAACAGTGCATTTTGAGTTTTTACTCCATTTACATGCTTTTTCTAAACATTAAGCATCGATGTGTTCTTTTAATGGGAGTTAGCCATAGTGAAAAAAAATCAGTAGTTCAAATAAATCATACAGATTCTAGCTTAACTATATATAATAATGTGTCATGAAGAGGTTTGCTGGAACTGAAAGCACCATAGCAATTACAATGTTGTGTCGCACGTTAATCAACAGGTCCACCTAGTGGAGGTAGTGTGTTACTTTTGGGTGTCAAGGAAAAATTAAAGCTGCAAGCAGCGTTGGGCGGGCGCTCGCACTTGTAGCGCATCCAGGTGTGAGCCGGCCGCGTTGCATATTCTGGAGCTCTGCCGCTGCGGCTGTGAATTTGCTACACGGTTCCGACGCTGCATGAAGGTGTTCACTTCCTGTGTCCCCTATGTGGAGCTACATAGCACTTGCCGCTATGAATATAAATCGGTATTGGCGTGTACATGTGTTCAGGGCGGGAATCTCATCCTACGTGTACAGGTTTGTTCAGATGTGAGCATGTACACTGAAGTTACAACAACTTCCTGTGTCATGGTGAAGAGTTGATCTTTGACGCCACGCCACCGACACGCCCATTGACAAAAACTCAGGAGGCACAGCTGAAATTTGAAATCGATCCAAATAAATCCCTAGGAGGAATTTGTTAAAGTACGGAGTGTGTAAATCATCCAAAAATGGCCGTAAAATTCAAAATGGCCGACTTCCTGTTGACTTTAGGATATGGGTTCTTGAGGCTTTTTTGTGCGTCTGGACATGACACATGTCCCCAGAAAATTTCGTGCATGTAGGTTGAACGAGGACGAGGGGTTAATGTTTTTCAATTTTCTAGGTGGCGCTAGCGAGTCATTTTGCCACGCACATGGGCGAAACCCATAAAATACGAAATTTTTCACCACTTCTGACATGTGTGCAAAGTTTGGTGAGTTGTGAGATGTGTATTTATGATAGGTAAACATTGCAAACATGGTCTTAGTCATGTCTGGTTAAAGTTACACACGGTGTCACTTCTGGAATGAAATGCTTGCATACAAACAGGCAATGCACAGATGTTTTTTTATTGGTAATTCTCTGCTTTAATTTTGAGGAATTCAAATCATTTTTCTTATTTCATTTCATTTATTTATTTCTGAGTGCAACACAGATTAATCAACATTGCTGTAAATGTGCCAGTGTTAGCCAACTAGCTAATTTTTAACTGCAGACCTTTGGCAAGATGTTTTGAAATCTGTAAAATTCTTAAATTAAATCTTGTCACGTTCACTTCATTGAATAAATGTTTAACAATACATAAAGTAAATTGTGAGATGTAACTTAACAGACAACCTGTTTGTGCTCTCATGCATACTGGGACTGAGACGGGTCTACATGCACACAAAGTTATTAGGGAAATAAAAAAAGTAGTTAAGGTAGTTAAATTGGTTATTTATTTAATTCAACATACATTGTGCTAATTGGTAATGATATAGAAGGAGGCGTAGTCGAAGCACAGTGCTAATACAGTCAAAAGGCAAATTAAATAACTTACTTAATAAGTTAAGTAAGATACAGCAATTCCATCACAACTTAACCTCAAACCTTTTTACCTGCACTGTTGTTTAGAGAGATGAAGAGGAAGAGCGGAGGAAACGGAGGCGAGAGAAAAACAAAGTGGCTGCAGCTCGATGTCGAAACAAAAAGAAAGAAAGGACAGATTATCTACAAAAGGTGAGACATACCTTGGTAATCCCTTTGTCATTATTTCAAACTCTCACATATTGATCTTATCTCCTGTAATCTGGTTTAATCGCTGCCCCCCCCCCCCCCAATTACTTCCTTTTCCCTCCATCCTCACAGGAATCAGAGAGACTAGAGATGTTAAATTCTGACCTTAAAGCCCAGATTGAGGAGCTGAAGCTCGAACGACAGCAACTGATTCTCATGCTTAACCGCCATCGCCCCACATGTATTGTCAGGACAGATAGTGTCAAAACCCCGGAGAGTGAGGTGAACCCCCTGCTGCAGCAGCTGGAGGCTAAGTGAAAGTCCGACGGCTTTCTACAGTTTCTACAGTTGAGAAGAAGCAGCCGACTAGCAGCACTTAGCTTTGGGCCTCGGTCATGGAGGAGAACCAGCCAAGTCTTCCTACCTTAAGTCACGGAGCGTCACACCACAGAATGTGGATCCAATGAGATTGGACATTGTTTTAGATCATCAACAGATACTTCAGACTTCTTTTTCTTTCTGTCTCTTGCTTTCACATTATTTGTCATTTTGGTCACTAGCATGAAGTTAAACAAAAATATTGACAAATTACCTCACAGCTGCTTTTCAACATATTCCCAGCAGCCAGAATGGAGTTTTGTTGCAAAAAATCATCAGTAGTTAATGTCATCTTAGTAATTTCAGTAATGTATTTGGTGATTTACAAATGAATGATTTTTATTTGTTGATTGGCAATTTTTAAAGCAAATCTAAGCCAAAACTGAACTGAACTGAACACAGTTGTATCTATATACAAATAGACATCTTGTTTTAATGAGTGGTTGCAATACCTCTGAAAAATGAATGCCCCAAAAGACCTGGATTGTCCCTTCTTAAAATGCATTCTGGGAATCATAGGAATTTTAACTGAACTAGAATTTGAAGAGGGCAGTTGTGGGAAAATGGGTATTTAGGAAAATAACAACTGGAATGCATTAACCATCACATTTTCTCCTAATAATAGTAAATTTCTTATTTTTCTAATGCAACACTTGCACTCACACACAGTCAGAAGACCTTTTGCTTTATAATAACCTTCCTGATTTTCTGGTCATTTGAGTAATTTCATTAATTTGGTGGATCCCCAGACCCATTATTCTTAAGTTTTGACGCAGGCGTCATGTATGCACATTTATATATGGACTGTTTACATTGTACATTGTATTACTTTATTTCTGTTATCCATATTGTTACTACCAATTATGTTTATGTTTTTTTTAATACTTTTGTATATGATGTTATATAAGCATATAAGCTATCACAAAATCCCATTTTGTATTTCCATAAAAAATAAATGTTTACTTTGTTTTTTACTGGAATATTTTTGAGTCCTATTGGGTAGCCTACAATTTTCATGACTAACATTTGTGGTCTACGACTCCATCTAGCGGCCAACCTGATTAACACAGTACACATACATTTTAGATGAGTTTCCACACATTTTTTGTTCCTTTTTATGCAGGAACTGTTTAAAATGTCTTAACTGTTGCACATTTAGCATTTGTACCTCTCCAGCATCCCACTTTCCCCACAAGGTTTGGCTAATTTCTACGTGTGATGTCGTGATCCTGCAGAGGGAAAGCTTTGTTTCAGCTCCACACAAAATTATGTCAGCTGACTGCAAGTCTCCTGAAGTGAAATTATATTTTATTCATTTTTATATTTAACCTTATTCTCCTCATCTCATTGTGTAATTCTGCATTAAGTCATCAAACTACACACATACCTGTCCTTTTTAATCAATTGGGACCAAAAGAGTGATGTAATCAAATTTTTGTTGAGTGATCTAATCTAACATTAAAAAGTACCAGCATTTACTAACTAATAGCAAGCACAAGGCAGTCATTGTTCTTGCCAGGAGGTTGCAGATTAAAATGGGGATTACTGAGGCAAGATAAACTTGAGAAAACTTTTGGGAGAGTATAGCTAAATCATAGCACTGTGGTCTGTGATGTCTGACTGGTGGATCTATATACCCTATAGCTCCACTTAACAGTCACTGTCACTTCTTATCTCAGTTGCTGGGTGGAGTAAAAGTCGGGTCAGCTCGTCTGTAATAAAGGATGTCTCAGACAGCTCAGCTCAAGTAGCCTAAATGAACTTCTGGAGAGCAGGCCAGTCCTTTGGAATGAAGCTGGCATTGGATGAATTTAGGTAATCTCAGTTCTTTTGTAAGGACAATATTCTTGAGAATTGAAGGACTGTTTTTACTGTGCTGCTGTGTTGGAAAATTTCCAATCTTTTCTGCTCTAACTTCCAATTGCGCTCGTTTGAACTGAAGCAGAAAATGGGAAATAATCCGCGGTCACAGGACAGGAGTGCACATGGCGCGGAGGAGAATGGTCTACATTTGGGAGCGAAGGAACAAACTGAATGCAGCAGCATCCCGAACGGTGACAGCGGCTCTGCGGCCACTACGCGCTCATACAAGAAGCGCTGGGTGATTGTTTTCCTGTTCAGCTCATACTCCCTGAGCAACGCGTACCAATGGATCCAGTATGGGATCATCAGCAACATAATAATGAAGTTCTACAACGTGGATGCGTTCACTGTAGACTGGTTGTCCATGATCTACATGCTCACCTATATCCCTTTCATCTTCCCGGTCACCTGGCTCCTGGATAAGAAAGGGCTGCGGGTCACAGCGCTGTTGGCCACCGCGCTCAACTGCGCTGGGACATGGATCAAGGTTGCCAGTGCGAAACCCAACCTGTTCTGGGCCACCATGGTCGGACAGCTTGCAAGCTCCCTTGCCCAGGTCTTCATCCTCGGGATGCCCTCCCGCCTGGCGTCGGTCTGGTTCGGGGCGGATGAGGTTTCCACCGCCTGCTCCATTGGAGTTTTTGGGAATCAGGTGAGTTGATCTCTCGTGACTTCAAGGAAACTGTAATTTTAATAGACCTCTGTAATCTGTTTGATTTGTGTCCCATTTTGTTGTTTTGTTGTGTTTAATTAGTATCCAAGGAAGTTTAAAAATGAACCTTGAATTTGAACGTTTTAACCTTTATTGCATAACTATGACCTGGATGACAAAGAATCTTCACAGACATTTTAATTAGTAGCTTGAAGTGGACCTGAACCCATGGCTGGATTAACTTCTTAGGTGGCCATGGGCAAATATTTGCTGATGGGCCCCAGCAGCCCTCAACCTTTCACCCATGTCCAGACAGAACCAACCAGTATACTAACAATAGCACAGATGAATTTGATTAATAAAGGAGAGACTCTCCTCCCAGTGTGACAGAGGACAGGTAGAGACAGAGCTGCACTTTCTAACCTCATGCCCTAAATATAAAACATTAAGAAAAAAATACTTTGCAAACATTTCCCAAATATACCCCAAATTTGAATTTCTATCAGACACACAGAAACTCCCCTGTTTACTGGGAGAAATTCCCAAATGTCAAATAATTGCAGCAAAATATGTCTCCTCATGTCACGAACTGAGCACAACAGTATGAACTCAGAATAGACTCATAAATATAATAATTGTTCTGAAAAGTTTTAAAATTATTATTTTCATTGTCTGTTATTTATTTTTAATCTCACATGTGATACTGATTTTGTTTTGTCTATTAATATACACACACATTTACTGTTTTATTTACTTCATTTATATATATATATAATTATTTTATTATTATTATTTTTAATAGTTATTAATGAACTGTATAAAATGAATTGGTCTTTTGTAATTTATTTGTAGCTTTGGCAATATTGTTGTTTTACATTCATGCCAATAAAGCTAGATTGAATTAACTACAATAATTTCACAGCAATGGCAAAATTTATAAAAGAGTTTATATAAGCCTACAGTGTTGCTGCAAATTATCAAGTGCTTGAAGGTCAGTAAGGTCCGCGAACCAGTCATGGCTCAAGAACAGGAGGGATCGAGCTTTCTCAGTTGCAGCCCCGAGACTGTGGAATGAATTGCCTCTTCATGTCAGACTGGCCCCCAGCCTTCCAGTTTTTAAATCGCGACTTAAAACTAATTTTTGCTCCTTGGCTTTTAATCCGGGATGAGAGATGTATGTTGCTGTTTTGTTGATGTTGTAGGCTTATTTGTCTATTTATTGATTTATGTCAGTGTACAGCACTTTGGTCAACCTGGCTGTTTTTAAATGTGCTTTAGAAATAAAGTTGGATTAGATTGGATTGAAGTTGGCTACTCACTGGAATGCAGTAATGGCACTTCTACGTTTTACTCTTTGGCATACCTTTTTCACCAGCACTTCTCACAATCTGCCGGCCATTAGCAGAGCCTGTTTTGTGATTTATAGTGCCTGACAAAAGTGAGGGTGAAATACAACTCTCAGTGAAATACAATGTTGTTTATAAATTGCCGCTCGGAAAAGATAACCTTTAGGAAAAAATATTTTTTTAACGAGCAAATAGAGATGGAAACCCTCTTCAGAAACTACTCTTCAGTGTTGAAAAAGGTACTCAGACCCTAACTTATAATACTTTAATTACAATATAATTACACTACAAGTGCAAGTCCTACATTCAGAAACCTTACTGAAGTAAAAGTATACAGTAGTATTAAGCAATAATCTTTGCTTAAAAAGCATTTTCTGGTTGTAGCTGGTCAAGATGGAGCTAGTTTGAAGGACTTAATAGTTAAGTTAAAGTTAGGTATAGTTCAGTGGCCTAGAGGTCAAGCCCCTCCAAAGGGTCAAAAGATTAATCTGAGGGGCAGATGAGGAACATTGACTTTTTGTAAGGAGTCACAAGCCTAAACGTTTGGCTGACGCTAGTCTGATCTGCAGCAAAATATTGCATCATGTAGCTATATTTTTTTGTGTAAATTGTAATATAAAAGGTATCTAACTGCATTTCACACACACACACACACACACACACACACACACACACACACACACACATTAATATTAATATGGTTTACATGGTCATTCAGTTAACTTTTCAGTACTTCCACGTTGGCTCCATTTTTCAGCCTGGAGGGTGCAGCTTTGTGTCCATCACTAAAATGATTTCATACAGACTAGTTACACATTTATTATGTTAATTTGTCAAAAGCTAACTTTGAATACAGGCTAAACATTCCTTCGGCTACTCATGAAAGTAAGTTGTTTTGAGGGTGGCAACCAAAAGTGGCAACTGAGAGGTGACGTGTGCAATTTCTGCAAAGTCTGCTGGTAGGCTTATAATTGTAGTCTAGTAGTAGCCCAGTCTACATCAGTGCTGCCGTTCTCCAGGTATGGTAAACTGACGGTCCTTTTATTTTTGTGTGTTCCTCCTAATAGGCTGTAAGGTTTTGTGTTGCCTACATTTACAGCTCATGTTTATATCTCTTCACTTTCAGGAAGCATAAATATGACGCAGAGACAGTTTAGCCCGAACAGGCAAATGTTACCGAAAGCGTTTCATACGGGCAGCTTTATGACCCTGAAATTGTTTTACAGTGCGTTTATCTTTTTTGTTTTTTGTTTTTATTGCGCTGTTTCTGTGAAAATAAGGTGAATGCGCAGCCAACAAAGTAATCTCGGGTAAGCAACTACTTCCACTTGATAGCCTATCAAAACACTGACACTGTACCAATATTTGATTTCATATTGATGTGTCAGGGTATTTCCTTAAAGACGCTGGAGTGGAGTAGTGATCATGAAGTAAGAGTCGTTTGCTTCTCCTTTTCTCCCCTACACTCACCTTCACGTGGACTGCTTCATGCAGGCAGGCGACACAGTCAAAACAACAACAGCAGAGCAAACTTGTTTACTCATACTGTAAACATATAGCATTCTTCAATATGATGATATGATATGTTGAATATTTTTTAGCTCATTATGATACATGAAAAAGAGCCACAGTGGTGCTTTGAGGTTTAAAAAAAATATAAACTATAACGTTTACTTTATTACTAATAGTTCTGTCTGTGTTTTTTTATTTTTCAAACAAGCCAAAAGTTAAATTGCCCATCACATATTTCCAGTGGTAAAGGTGACATCATAAAATACCTTGTTTTGTCTGACTAACAGTAAGAAGATGGAACCAGCCAATTTTGCTTACATTTAAAAAAAACAAAACTACATAAATAGTTGAATGTTAATTTTCTGTCAATCTAGTAACCAATTAATCAACAAATTGCTGCAGCTCTAATTCTCATAAAAAATGTTGTCAGGAACACTCCTTTGCAGCATGATAGAATACATTTGACCCAACAATTAAATTAATCATTCTGATTGTAAACCTTGAACAACATAAGTTTGAAAATGATTGATTGTGACTGAAGGTGTAGGCCCTATGTCCTAATTCCTACCGCAGTAATAATCCTCCACTGAGTAATACGTCTCTAAATTAAAAGGTCTGAGTGAATGGACCTTTGCTACTATGAGTCTGCACACATCTATATGTGTGTCGTGCCTTAGTTTAGGAATAAAATCAAGTTACCTTAAGTTCACACTCAGAACTTTTTGTCAAGTGGTAGTTGGGTGCTATGACATGAGCTGGAAGGAGGAATTTAAAATGAGAAGTAAAACTCACAAAAGAAACACATCACATGACTAAAGAGGTGTTAAACACCAGAGTCAGGTGTGTAACAGTTGGCTGAGATCAGAGCTTCCCAACAACAATCACCTTGTTAAAACTGCACCGCAAATCCACCTCTGCTAAATCAGAAGGAGTAATAAGCAGTAATCTACACTTTAAACAAAGCAGGAGAGCTCATTTATGATCAGCATGATGAAAAAACCTGCTGGGCAAGAAGGGCTAGGCACGTAAACTGTCACATTGTTTAGGGAGCACACACACACAAGGAGAAATGTATGCTCTTCCCTCCAGCTGTAAGCCTGAAGGAGAAGGGAAGCGTTTCAACAGGAGCAACATTAGCTCTCAGACTGAATGCTGTAATGAGTTGGACAATATTTGGTCTCCAACAAGACAAGAGAGAATCAGTCTGGGAGAATACAACCACCACATACTTCTGGGAGACAGCAGTGATCCCTTTGAGCATTCAGCCATGGACACAGAACAGCTGCTCCGGTTGATGGAGACCAGGTTGTACATGCGGCGGTGGGTCATGCTATTCGTCTTCAGCGCCCTCTCCACGAGCAACGCCTTCATGTGGCTGCAGTACAGCATCATCAACAACATCTTCATGCGCTTCTACAAAATCGACACCCAGGCCATCGACTGGCTCTCCATGATCTATTTCCTCACCTACATCCCCCTCATCCTTCCCGTCATGTGGGTGCTTGATAACCGAGGCATGAGGGACGTTATGGTTGTGGGCTCAGCCTTCAACTGCATCGGGGCGTGGATCAAGACGAGCACGGCCCAGCCCAGCATGTTTGCCATGACCTTCTTCGGCCAGTTTGTGTGTTCGATGGCTGCTGTTTTTATCCTGGGCATCCCATCCAGACTTGCGTCCCTGTGGTTTGGGCAGCAGGAAGTGTCCACCGCCTGTTCCATTGGCGTTCTGGGAAACCAGGTGTGTCTCTGTTTACCTGTTGGGCTCAAAACGTCTTTAACAGTGTGCGTATGGTGTTATAAACTTCTCAAATTGGTGTTAAGAGAACTTTGTGTGTGTTGGTTGGCAAGAAAAAAGTGAAAGAAAACTCTATCATCTAATTTTATCTGAATGGTAGTGTGTTAAAAACAGCCAGGTACATGTTATGTCATGACAGCGTCTGCCATCGTGAATGTATGAGTCTTGAGTTTTTGTTTTCTCACATGCCAACAGTTTGGTTTGTTGAAGAATGTAGTGTTTTTTTTAATATCATCTATAAAAGTATTAGCTCTGTATAGCTTTCTAGTCTTTTCGACCACTCAAAGCACTTTTACACTACATCTGCATTCACCATTCATTCAAAAGAAACTAACATTCATACACATTCATACCCTGGCAGAACAGCCACCAGGGGCCTGGAGGCCGCCCCTTAGGTCATAGTTTACTTTAAAATTATTTTCCAAATGCCCAATGAAGATTTTCTACATGGTTAGGGCTTTATTAAGTTTTCTTTTGGGAGAGCTTAATTGCTTTCTCTAAACGTACCAAGAGTCTAGGGTTACTATTTTGAAAATATATATTCCTCAGTTTTACCCTATGCAAACAAGCTCAAATGAGCAAAATCCAGAAAGACATGCTAAAATCAAGCTCATGACTTTCCCAAAGTGGGAGGATGCTGAAGGTAGAGGAAGCAGATATGACCGATTGTGGCTATGTCTCACTAAAAAAAAAGGGGGAGATGCCGGTATCATCAAATTATGTTTGTGTGGGTGCACAGTTTGCAGGGTGACATCCACCACTTGAACCATCTGCTACTGAACAAGCTCCCAGGCTAGGAGTAAATGAACTGTACATTGAAATTATGTTGAGAATGTTGTGTCCAAGTCAAGCTAGTGAAGGCTGCTGGGGAGGATGTGTGTGGTCGCATGTCATGGTTCATGTCTCTTTCACCTTAGAAGACAAACACAAATGTGTCACAGAGAAGACAAACTGGGAGTGACACAATTTTAAAAGTTTGGATCCAATCTTGAGTCATTTCCAAAGGGAAGAATCTGGCTTCATAATTCAATTTAGCTCTAAATTATTCTTTGTTTAAAAGCCAATAAAAACAGTCAAAATACACTGCACATGTAACAGTTTTTAAATGAATGCCTTGTGATCACAACATGATCTTTATCACTGTATGTAAACATAGACCACCAAACGATATGTGACCCCTCTCATGTTCTTTAACCCCTGAAGTGTAACTGTTTTGTCCGCTCTCAACTATGTTAGACCAAACACTGCACACCGGCCATTGTCACACATGTACTTGTTTTGTGCACCCCGCCGCTGAAGATAAAAGGACACATTGTTGTTGATGTTTACTTGCTCACCACGGCTTTATTCCTTTGGCTCCAGTCCCTAACCCTGACGTTTCCAAGTTTTCCGGCAGAAGTTGTTTATGTATCCCTTTGGACATTTAGAAATAGTTCACATTAACAAAAAGTAGGTAGGATTTCCACAAAGCCTTGTGATGCTTTGAAGATCAAACAGATCAACAGTTTGTGTGCCAAAAGTAACTTCAGAAGAGAGGCCATCCTTGCTTTGCACCAGTTGAAAAAATGCTTGTTTTGCATTTTTTGACAAGACTTGCTCTACTTATCCAAAATGCACGCACAATAGGGATGCAACGTCTTTTCGTTGCTTCAGATATGTGACGGTGATTAAACAGAGATGATTCTCCAGTTATTGTGTTATAGGGATTTATTATAGGCTCCGGTGAATATGTTAAATATAAATAAATATAAAATATAAAGCTTTCACTAGCAAAATGACCACATGGTAAGTTAACGATTGTTCAAGTAGCCTCGTGTTCTATATGTCACATAAATATAGCAAAGTTTCAGGTTTGTTTGTATGCTGGAGATCTATAAATCATGGTGGCTGTAACATTGCTAAGTCACTGAAGGGGCCTGATGGATTTCTGTGCTTGCACGCCACAGGTGTGCTCCTCCTTAAGGAACATATCTTTTCACTTTCCCTCTTTAATAATGTGTACTGACTGTAGCTGTGTGCGTGTGTTTCATCAGCTAGAGGTCTAGACAGGCCAAGAGTCATATTTTAATTTCACCTACAGATGGGTATTGCCATTGGGTTCCTGATCCCACCCATCCTTGTTCCAAATGTGGACGATATAAATGAGCTGGAGCACTACATCAGAATCATGTTCTACATCAGCGCGGGAGTGGCCACCTTCATCTTTATCCTCGTTGTCATTGGTAAGTCTGCAAGGAAAGATGACTATTCACATCCACATGCTCATAGAGAGGGTAAGCGCTGTCAGGGCTCCTTGCTCATACATGCAGTAATAGCCGACTGCAAGTCCCCTTTCAATGTCATCTAACTCCCACAGCCATGATTGTGAAAACGTATAAAGCAAGGAGTCATCTTGACAGTTTGTGCTTTCCAGTGATAGAGAGTGTGACAAAGCTGTTACCTCCCCTCACCTCCTTTATCCCTCACAGTCAGTGCCAATGGGATTTGACCTTTTGTAGTTGGCATTGTAATATTTTTAGATGAGAACAAAAAAGAGAGGTTCATAGGCTTCATTGTTTGACATAAAATTTCATTCATTTTTATATGGTAGGGCCTCTTATCTGGTTGTTGGGATCCTCAGGCGGCACTGCTGGAAAGCTGAGTCTCCCTGAGATGTGCTCTCTACCGAAAACTAAACAGCATCGCCATCCACTAGAAGAGCAGCTGCAGTAATTGCTCTAATTGTCCGCCTTTTGATGAGATGTGTTCAGACACGATATGAAATACAAGCAAGGATGGAAGGGGTTTTATGAAGTCATCTTCCCCCTTAGCTTTGTTAAATCCTCATTTCACCTCCACAAAGGACTAAACTTCACTGACTGTCAGAGAAACACGGTGAAGCTTCGCCACAGGTTGCATTTTACCTCAATGTTAACTGGCGCGGAGGCAGGTTGATCAGAAATTGGACCATTTGCATACATATGGCAACATAATGAAAAGACATGTTTGGGTGGACTTTGGCTGTGCAGTGGATTTTACCCTTTCTAATTCTATTTGGATGAATTATATGGGGAAGAAATTAAAGAAATATATAAGAAATCTAATATTTCTAAGAAGCTTATGCCTCCTGTCGTACATACTGTATTTTACCCGTTGCTTGTAAAGGTGGGACTTCTGGGCCATATTTTGCAACTTGCTAAACCTAGTAGTCGACCATTTAATGTGGTAACTATCCAGAATGTCTTGTTACCTCAATCAGAGAGATTGGAAATGTGTACATACAGAAGTGAAAATGCTATAACTCGAGAACGTAATAATTACTATGTTAACAGGAAAAAACATGATTACAATAATAACCACTATTATACTGACGCTGCACTTATTGCTCATTATTTCTACTTTATTAGCTGACTGCCTTTCCAGAAAATACAATTCACTAACATGAAACATTATTAAAGTCAACAAAATAATATAAAAAGAAATAGTTTCATTTTATTCATACACAACCATACATGGCTATTGCCCAACCCCTTTAACATGGTTTCATGTTCATATAAAAAAATTCCTACATAAGTGTTATAATAGTTTAAAGTGATTGTTTATGTTATGTTTTCACTTACATATGTGAATGAGGAGATGTAGAGGAGATGAAAAACACTTAACTCAAGGTCCATTTCCAGGGTTTCGAATTTCATCTCACGGTCTTCTATGTAGGATGTATCTTGCTCAGTTGTGATCATGTGATTATGTTATGCAGCTGTATTCATTCATTCAACACAGCAGATAAAGAATAAAGAAAAGCAGGAATAAGAAATGTTTAGTTTGTTCTAAACTAGTGTTCTAAGCACCTTTCACAGAACAAAGCCATAAATTCTTTACAAGAGTAAAATAATAAAGTCATATATATGTATATATATATATATATATATATATATAGACAACAACAGCATCGTAAAATAGCTATAATAAATAATAGTCACTCAATAAAACATTGGTAACAACGGACCTTAAAACACACACGTTTGCATTCTGTAGATAGCACATAGTGTGACAAAGGCCAGCTTTAATAAAAGAGTCTTCAACTGTTAAAGGCATCAACAGAGAGCGCAGAACCGTATGTGCAAAGGTTTGGTTCTTCATCCAGTCTGGGTCAGGTTTCTGTGTGGCCACTCTATTGGATACTGAGTTTGTGTATTAAGGGTGTGTTTGAAAATATGAATTATATCAGATTAGATATTGATGCCAATCAAGTTACAAGCATCACAAATTAATATGTAGAATGTGGCACTAGTCTATCCCCTGCCCGTGCAATTTTGGATCTGTCCCTGCCGAAATAGCAAAAAACATATTCTTTTTTCCATCGATTTGTAAAGACAAGGAATTTATACAAAGATAGTTAAATTAAGCTAGGGTGACAGGAATGAGAAATAAAAAAAACGCACAATCAATTTGACTAAAGCCAATAAACGTCTTCAAAACACTGTTTAATGATTAGAGTTTATTAAACTGGTTCAGTCTGTTGGCTTAGGTGTGTGACACGGATGATAACTAGCTGGCTGGAAAACGATACGCCTACAATAGTGCAAACATTTTGGATTTGCTTTTAACCCCCTCCCGGTTTTCTGTTCTCAGAGTAAAAATGTCTTATGTCCTAAGCACACAAATAAAATCCTTAATATTGTGTACTTGTTTTTTCCAGTGTTTCAGGAGAGACCAGAAATTCCTCCCACTCAGGCCCAGGCTCAGGCCAGGAACATCCCCCCTGACGAGTACTCTTACACAGCTTCTGTCTTGAGGCTGCTGCGCAACAAGCCCTTCATGCTCCTGGTGGTCAGCTATGGTGGGTGTCTTCCTGCTGACTTAATCTGTTTGTATTTCCACAAACTGGTGGACTGATGGGCTTTCGTGTAATAATGACACAATGCCTGGAGGAACAGGCCTTTAGGTGTCGTATTTACAGCTTAAACTTCTCGGCTCTCCACTGACGTTTATGTAAGGCTACCTGCCAATAATACTGTTTATTAGTTTGTTTAAAAAACTATAATATATGAAATAAATATAATGTCACAAAAAATGTCAAAATGCTTCTCACAAGTTCTGAGAGCCCAAGATAATGTCTCTAAACAAATTGTTTTGTCCAACCAACAATCCAGAGATACACGATGAGAAAGTAGAACTATCAAATACCAGAATTATTGTTCATTCATTTCTTTCAGTTGCCAAGTTTCAGCACAACTTTTGCTATTACAACAAGGTCTGTGGCAAATTATATCATAAAGATAGCAGAGGAGGAAGTCTCATAATGATGTGATTATAATTTTGTGACATGCAGGTCACCCCTCATTCTAACATCTTACCACCATCTTTATCACCTGTCCAGGGCTAGGATGTTGCAATATCAAGGTGAAAGGTAGCCTCAAAATATAGATATCTGCAGTTGAAGCTGCCACAGTCACATTTGTGGAAACTCCACCTTTATCAGCTGGTGTGCAGATATGATGGTGTGTTAGCGTGACACATGGACCTCCAGCGCACTAATTATGTGCAGCATTGATATAGGGTCTTTTTGAGGTCACATTTTTGCTCAAAGGTCACTTTTTAATAACGACAATGTTAATGATTGACAGTGTGAAGTATACTACAATGGGCACCATTAACATGTCTCACCAATGGGATTTTATGGTCCTTTGGTGTCTAGAAAGATTTTTGCATACTGACTAACATGTTCTCCAGTATATACTTAAATGCTTTTAACTAATGACAAAGTCTGGAGGCTGCTGTGGACTTGATGTGTGACGTTGTCAGCAGTGCTTTTAACGGGGAAGCATGAGGTCCCATTTGGACCTTCTCCTTTCCCTACGGGTCTTCTCAGAATAGACAGACAGTGATTTCAGTTTGTTGTCTGCAGGGCTCAACGTTGGCTGCTTCTATGCTGTTTCCACACTGCTGAATCGGATGGTCATTGAACACTATCCTGTAAGTCCCAGTGTGTCTGTTATGTTTATCTCCAACCAGATGAGTTTTTATTTAACGTTGTGTTTCTTTATTTGTACTCAGTTCCGTCCTTCCTTCCTTCCTTCCTTCCTTACCTCCTCTATCATTCTTTCTTGCCGTATACTTGTGTCAGTGCTGATTATTGTGGTCCAGAACTTCCAGGAAAAGATAACTGCAGGATAAAAAATGTCAGAGATGTCTTGTACAGTGCAGAAAGTAGAAATGTCAATGTTTTTCAGGGTGAAGAGGTGAATGCTGGGAGAATTGGTCTGACCATTGTCGTTGCTGGTATGGTGGGGTCCCTCATATGTGGCGTTTGGCTGGACAAGACCAAAACCTACAAGTAAGATATTTCTATAAAAGGACCGAAAACAATGCCAAATGCATCAAGAAGAAACCAAATTCCCTGTAGCATTCCCGGTAATCAGTCTGCTGCAGTCTTCAGACAAGTCTGTTGACCTTCCCCTGCCTCATGGACATTAAAATAATTTAAAGTTAGTTGTGTTCTTTTACTAGTCTACAGTCTACACTCATGCTAGCAGCTTTGTAAGGTGAGCTAAATGCTAATGTCAGCACGCTAACATGCTCACAATGACATTGCTAACTTGCTGATGTGTAGCAGCAGGTGAAAATGTTTACCATGCATGCTGACATTTGCTAATTTGCTAGCACAAAGTACGGAACAGCGGAAGTTGTTGGAAATGTGTTAGTTTTGCAATATATGGTCATGAACCATAAAAGTATTGGACTAATTACAACTTTGGACTTTTCGTCCTCTGGGGACCATGAAAGTGTAATCCATCCAAGGCAGTGCCCTCCATTGCCCGCTGGTAATATTTTAGCTTCATGTGATACCAGAAACTCATGGTGACTGAAAGAAAGTGCTCCAATGTAATTTTCAGTCTTCAGGGTCAACAGTCAGTCTTGTTTGCGGCAGTGTTAGCTGTGCTTTAAAACATGGGCTCCTTGCATGAATGTCTTTTCAATCATCCATTCACAGGGAGATGTCCCTGTGAATTAAAGGTTTTGTTCAAAGTGCTCACGAATGGGAATCCAGCGGAACTGAGTCGTATATCTGACGTCCCTCTCTGCTTATCTGAACTGACGGGCTGTACTTTGCTGGTCCTCCCAGGTCGCTTCTCAGGCCTTGTGCCACTACATTAAACATGGAATATACTAAAAATTACAAAATTGGTATCTTATTATTGATGCTGTCATTTGTATCAGTACTTTCTCACAAAGTAACCTCTTATTTTCAGTAGGTTTCTGTTAGATGTTTGGTTCACTAGCTTCAGTGATCTGGCATGCAAACTATTATGATGGGGAAAAATCCTCAGATTCCTTTCATGCCATTAGGATGCTTCGCTGTCAAAGCAGTCAGGCCTGGAGTTATATTGTTGACCCGCACACTCCTATTGTCCCATGTGGGAGAGAGTCAAAGGACTATGTTATATTAACAAAAATGTTTTGCAGCAATATTTTACGCATGGTTGTATGAGAGACTGCTTAACCAGAGTAAGCCAGTTTGAGTAGAGGGCCTGGGTTATGACATGGGATCTTCAGTGAATCAGGAATACTGTTTATGCTGAGGAATTTTCAAGTGAGAAATTTAATTATATAATATTTATATTTATAAAAATTTATAATTATAATGATAAAGTCTAGAAAAAGTTGCCTGCTATGTCACAAAAAACAAAAGTATTACTCTTTAAGATTATTATTTTAAAAAATCCTATTTTATGTTTTTATCTCTTGCAGCGGTAAATACTGAGGGTATTTGTGTGTCATAATATGCAGTATACACAATTAATGTATGGGTATGAAATGAAGCATGTTTATGTGGAGGAGAAGAGCTACTGGCTCTTTCGGATCTACAGTATGTAAAGGTGGCATGCAATGGCTTAACGTAATAACAACGGGCCCCAGTGCAGGCTGTTATGATGGGCCCTTGGGCTACACCGTTACGAAGCACACGCACACACTGCTGTCTAGAAGAGAACCCTATATTGGAAAATTTATGTGCCTTGTTTCCTAGTTTTGCATAGTTTAACAACTGATAAGATTAGATGCAGTAAATACCTAATTTAAAGCTCCTTAAATTGATTTCTTTCCATATTAACATATTAAATTAAACAGTTCTTTTTGTGTACGTCTCTCTCCAACACACACGCTGCTGCGGCTGTGCTGTGATGGATTTTAGAGTCGAGAGACTTTTGTATTTGCAAAGTACAGAAGGCAAAGAGAAAGTTATAAAGAGCTTGGCCAGTGCTCTCAGACGGAAAAGTGGCCTACTCATAACACCTCCATGTTCTGAAAACAGGCCAGCTAAGGCGCACACACAGTGTAATACCCACAAGCACATCCACACAATTAAACAGGTAGGCCTACTCAGCAGCGACCTGTCCCCGAAATTATATCAGCCTTTAAAACTGAGGCACGGGAGCCACACCGAATCCACTGAAAAAGCACTTGTAAAGTTACTCACCTATTTGAACACCATCCGACAAGCCTGCATTGACAATGTCCTCAGTGCTGTGTGTAAATGCATAGGGCGGTTGATTGTAGTGTCACCTCACTTTCTAAATTATATTGTTAATATTCATCTCCTGTCTCCTCAGACAAACCACCTTGGTCGTCTATCTCCTCTCTCTGACGGGGATGCTGGTCTACGCCTTCACCCTCAACCTGGGTTACTTGTGGGTGGTGTTTGTCACAGCTGGAGTTTTAGGGTAGGTAACCATTACAGAATGTAAAGGCAGCAGAGGTCATAAACATCAGAGCCAGGGCCTGAAATATTAAAAATGTGGGTATAAATTAACTGAGGCATGTAACATTGTCAGGTTACCAGCCAAAATGTGATAACACTGTGCATTTTTAATTCTGCAAATTTTTGGAAATGTGCAGTTTCTCACAATTTGGTTTAATTTAAGAAAATACAGAGAGACCTTATCACTGCAGGGCTTGAAGTCTTTGTTATATTTGTTTTGCCAATTCATAACTATGCAACAGACCTCCAGACCAGAAAACCCTATGATATAATTCTCCATTCATACCAGGAATATTTTGAATTGACAAGATGATCAAAGCTAAAAATGTTTCAGTTTGAACAATGCCAATCTCAAATCCATAAATATCTCCAAATCTAATTGTGAAGTCATTAAGGTCATTAAATTAAATCTCAAGTAAGACTGGGAACCCCGACCTAGACATTTAAGCTATAAACCTAATAATATCTCGTCATTGGTATCTTTAGGGGTTCAGTAAGACTGCTTTAAAAAATGGTGGCAAAAGAGAATTTTATTGTGACACGTCCGCTGATGACACAGTCTTTAGACTAATTTTAACCTTCATGTCTGTCACGTTTGATGTCCACATGTGTCAGGTTTTGCTAAATCGCTTAAAACGTTATGGTGGAATTGTATGTAGTAAGTGTAATATTTATTTGCATTTATCTCATCTGGCATTAGTGCTGCTTTGTCAAAGCTAAATTAACGATTCCCTGGTCCACATGCTTTGTCCTTACAATTATTGCTATTTGTGGTAAGCTGATTATGCACATAGCTGGTTTCCATAGCAATTCCTTTGTCTGGTTTTTCAATCCCAAAACCCAGACAGGATGTATTATACAGAAATATATACTTGCCCTACTTTTAAATTTGTGGAGCAGTTTTTGTATTTCTTCATTGGGATGAAAACTACTGCAGATCCACCTCGCTTATGTTTTCTGTTATTTGATCTTCGGTGTCTGTCTGTCTGTGGGCAGCTTCTTCATGACAGGATATCTACCTCTGGGCTTTGAGTTTGCAGTAGAGCTCACCTACCCAGAATCAGAGGGAACCTCATCTGGACTGCTTAACTGTTCAGCCCAGGTAAGTTACTTTAGCACGGATAACTCTGTAGACAAAGGCTAAACATATAAGATGACAAAAACATATAAGACAAAACAAAAAATTTTTTTGAATCTCATTTCAGATCTTTGGAATCATTTTCACCATCTCCCAGGGGAAGATCATCGATCAATGGGGCACTTTGGCCGGAAACATCTTCCTGAGTATTTTTCTCCTAATAGGAGCAGTAATGACAGGTAAGATATTAACCTCTCCTCTGTCGCCTCAGCATACCTCTCCTGTAACAAGACAGAGCAACTGTCAAAACATCAAACAAATCCATGTCAGCAGCATGCAGGCACGTGAAGGGAACATTGTGTGTTTTAGAAGTAGGGTATGTTTAAATTGTGTGTTTAAAATCCTAGAGTTACACAGCCATATCTTTCATAGGATAAGGTCGCCCTCTAGTGGTTAAATGAAGAATCTCTATTTATTGAAGGCATAAAACAATAATAATTTTTGTTAATGCTTCATATCAAACACCTGTTTATTATTCCCCTAAAAATTATGCTCCTTTTGTGTTAAAACTCCGTACCTTTTAAAGGTTACCTAGTGCCATCTATTGGGTGTGCATTAAAAACATATACCAATGGCTAATTTCTCTGATATTCTCTGACATAAAACAAATGCAAATCACTGCTTTTAAAACCCCTGTATTTTTTATTTTGTCTTGTTTTAAACTGAAATGGTTATGGATCCTAACTTCTTTAAGCTAAATTTCCCCCCTCCTCCGTGTTCATCACAGCATTCATCAAGTCTGACCTCAGAAGACAGAAGGCCAACCTACAGGCTGAGGTGCGGATAGCGAATGTAAGTACATGTGTGTGTGCTACATGCAGTCAGAGCTTGGATATTCACATCCCTGTGGAGGAGGGATGTGTTAGATGCCCCCTGGCTCTGTGCTGAATGCAGTGTCCTCACACTGCAGCGCACAGTACTGGTGCACTGGTGGAAACTTTCTCTCTAAACTGACTAAAAAAATCCTGTACTCTCAAATGATGTTTGCAGAAAGCACAATTCTGCTTTGTCTGACAGCTCTCAAACTTTTTGCTGTAAAAGCAAAATTTTGTTCCAACTTTGTCAAAGCCGTGCTTTGTGACGCTTTCATTTGGGTGCAGTTGACATCTGTCAAACAGACCAGTAACTTGTAGTGATCAGTTTTACAAATTCACTGTTAATAAAAAAAATTTCAGATTTAGTTAATCTGACAGGATTACATTTTATTGGTCAATAGTTCACATGTAACACATTTAAACATGTTCCATTTGAAACTAAATCTTACTTCATGTGGCATGTCTATCACTGCTCACTTGTTGCCTTGTTTAAGACAAGCTTTAGACGGCTTTTGCTAACTTTCCTTGTCCTTTCTCTGTTCATAATATGCCAATCCTAACTAATGCAGCAAAAATCAAAAGTTCCGGTAATCCTGTGGTGGTATGTTCAATGTTTGTATTAATCATTAAGATTTACTGCAAGATGACTTTAAACTGCTCACCATATTCTTCTCACTAAAGGATATATGGCTACTGGAGCCAGGTAGCAGGTAGCAGGTAGTAGGTAGTAGGTAGAATTAGTTGGGTGTACAGGGTTTGGTGGGGCGCAGTCTGGTGGTGGTGTTGAATCGAGGAGACAGTGGAGGATGAGGTGGTCCATTGGCGCCCCTCAGACGTGTGACACCCAAGCTATGGTTCCAGCCTACAGGCTCCGTGTCATCGATGCAGGACTACGGAACCACAGAGTGCAGCAGCCCTTGGCAACAGCTGTCTTGACATAAACCCACAACCTCACTAAAACCAAAACACACACCTGCCAAGGTAGGGACACACACACTTTCTGAAGTTTCAACACCAGAACTGCAGTGCATTCTACTACTACTGCTTCACAGTCGGCTCTTAAATTAAAAAGGTTCACTGTCTGGTACTGCGGAAGGAAACGATGTATACTGGGATTTCAACCTTATATAAAAGGCATTATGAAGATGAAATTAAGGAAAACTCATTTCTAGCCATAGTGTTTTTTGTTTTCACTGTGCATTCACTTGTTTTTTGCTTTAATCAAATCAATGTTTTAAAGAAAATGTAAAGAGTTAATTACATGCGTGATTAACCGACAGTACTGGATTTCAATGGAAGATAAGTTTTATGTCTAATACTAACGTAATGTATGGAATAATTTTGGTTTATGTTTGTTCTGTTCTCTTTCTGAATGCAATGAACAGGTGCGTGAACAGGTGTCTTTTCATTAAAAAAAACTTTTTACTCATTTGTTGGACAATTGTTCTCTGTCCTCATCCTTTACAGGAAGTGACCGCTGATCTTGAAGGCGCCGCTCTGCCTGAAATCCTTAAAGAGAGGAAGCTTTAAGGAGGACAGACAAACTCGGACAGACTCGTCAACATGCATAAACAAGCACACATGACCATGGAGGAAGAGAACCTGCAGTGAAGAGTGATCACATGGAGAGTGAATCGTACTGAGCAGCCCTCTTTGAGGCTTTATGATTGGTGAAGTAATAACCAGCAGACCTGCTGTATATTTTTGCACTGTACAAAACTATGTACTGTATGGACTCTGGCTTGAACACCAGAGATTCACACTGATATCCCAAGTGCAACTTAGCTCATCCCAAAGCAAGCACAAGTCAGTCATGCACAACGGGAACACACCTGGAAAGTCAATAGTTTTTATAGTGTCTTTTGAAAACATACATTTTATCCATTGTATGCATTTTCCATGTCTCGTTATTGCAATGCAACTGCCACTTTAGTGACATCTCTAACTAAATTCAACTTTTAACTGAGTAGTTTCCTAGGTCCCCCTCTGGTAGGTGTTAATGTAGTGTTCTATGCATCTAATGAGCAATATGTGTTTCCTAAAATTGGACCAAAGCTGTCTCAATCATCTCAAGCTGAAGACATTCATTTTAATGTTCTGTTTTTAGAGTATACATGTTAAATGCAGACAAATAACTGAGACATGTTTTCCTGTCATGGCAGTCAGGTTAGATCCTCTCTGCCTGCCATTCAGGATCACATGGAAGTGTTAATTCTGAATACTGCTGATTGGTGAGTACACTCTTGAAGTTCAGTTATGTCCTTGTTTTACTGTAAATGATATCTGCAAGACATTAATAACTTATAAATATCTGGGTCAGTGAGAGCATCTGAAACATTAAGAATGTCAGCACATGAAACATGAAGGATGAGGCTAATCTATCTACTGCAGTTTGCACAAGACAATGTTTTATGTATAATACTCTTAACTTGTAGATGTGTTACTGAGAAATGTAGTACAAGCTGTGTAACCAGTGTTTATACAGCCTGTAATTACCATGTTTTGCTTGATGTGACTAGTTTTCTTTTCCTATTGTATGATTGTTATGTGATTTTGAGAGCTGCTATTTCTTTCCTTTCAGTTGGAACTTTCAGGACACTTAACAGTGCTGTGAAAAGTAGCGCTTTCTATGACACTTAAGAAATACGAGAATTAATCAATTAAAAACATGAGTGGACTCAAAGGAGTATGTTTTGTTCGCTATCTAATTGAATAACAGTGTTACTGTATGTGTGTTTGGATAAAATAAGGAGCAAGAGAATTTATTTTTCTGTGTACCTTAACAAATCTCACGTAGAACAATGTGCTCATGTTTTCAGCATTTGAATTCAGCAGTTTCACCTTTTACTGGGATCACAGCAGTTACTACAAAATTAACAAAATGAAACCTCCATGCATTATTAACTTGAAAATGAACTATGAACCAGCACATGTTGATCACTGTTCAAACCTTTTTTTGATTGCACTTTCAACTGTAAAATTTCAGTTTAAAAACATGAAATACAGCCCACATATACCACATATGAGGTGTTTCAGTAGGAAATTAATTTAAATCTAGATCTCATGTTCTTCCAAGGCAAGAAGAAGCACACTGGGACCAGTTTCTTGTGTGTCTGGTGGTCACTGAGGAGGTGGGTTCAGTGGACTGAAAGAAAATCTTAACTGCCGGGATTCAGTTACGCTTCTTCTGTCGTGCTCCGACTTCCTCTTGTGTCTCTGGAATACACTGGAATCCAATCAGCATTCCCATGATAGAAAAACCTAGCAACACACATGGAAATGTTATCATGATGTTTTAAACAAAGTTTTAATACCTTAATCACTTAAGGGGAAATGTAAATATATTTCCCACCACTCCTTTAGCTTTAGTCCACACTCACTTGCCACAATGAGAGGTGCCATGACCCCGATAGTCAGAGGTGCAGTTTTGTAGATGAAGGCTTCAGAAAGAAAGTGGCCCAACGCCAGCACAAATGTCCACAAGGTGATGTGATACAGCCTGCAGGAGCCATAATGACACACAGTAAGAACATATGAAGACTGCCCATAGAAACAAGGCGCAGGAAGTGAGAGGCTGTCTTACGTTCTGTTCTGGATATCAATGGCACAGGCGCAGCGGATGATCGAAGATAGTAGCGTCCAAATACCAAATGTTCGAGCTTGGAGACCGTTCACTAAGGAAACAGGAAGAAATGGAAAAATCTGGAATACAGGGGGAAAAAAATATGATAGAGCCATCTGTATCACCCATGTCTGTTATCAATAGAGAACCAGAACAGTGTAAATCTGCCTAAACTCAGTTTATTTACAAAGTTTCGATAAGAGCTCTGACTGATAAATAGGCTAGGCTTATCACACTCACACACTATACAGATATCAGTTTATATGTCGGCTGATAAGTAATAAGAAATGTAAGTGCTGAAATTTCAAACATGTTATGTTTGGGGTAATTTAGATACAGTGTCACCTATGTTGTCCAGCACTGACATGTTTATTTTCTTAACTGTAGAATGTCCTGTTTAATCAATATTGAATGTATTCTTATCTGTGCTCATCAGCCACTATTGATTACCTTTATTAGTCTAGTTTAGTGTTTAGTCACAAATACTAGTACTGACCCAAAAAATCCAGTATCAGTGTGGCTCTAATATTGAAGCCTGTTAACAGTTGGTATTGATTGTTTACATAAAAACGAGACCATGGGGTTGCTTTTTGCCAAGCTGTCTACGTTTGTTTGGAGTTTAAATTGTCCTCATAGTATGATTGCTGTGTGTGATTATAGTAGATACAAATGTCAGATACATTTTTCTATTCAATCATTTCATAAATGTAAATAGGAATCATATCACACATGTAACACCTGGCAACACCAACATCATGCTCACTTGAGTTGTCAAACTGTATTGCCATTACGCTTTGTCAGTCAGACCTAGCTTGCTCACCAAACTCTGGTGTGCCCGTGTAGAGCTTCTCCGACAAAAAACTATGATCTCTGAAACTCTGCACGGTGTTTCCCATCGCGATGACAGACACCATCACCAGCCAGCTCCGCAGGACGTTCAGGAAGCGACTCATCTTCTCCGGCTGTTGGACGCACCTGTAAGAGAGGGAAAGTCTGTTCTGTGCAGGATAAACAACTTCAAACTGAAGGCCAGTGCAAGTGCAGCTAGCTGATTCTGTTAAATACAGAATAACAGATGTATGCTCTATCTTTCCTGACTAACACATTACAGGGAGACTGCAGTCTATTACCTAGCAAGTGATATTCTGCAATAACTAACGTGACATAACAGGCTAACGTTGCTGTAACCTGGTTGACACAATTAATAAGCCTATTATGATTTAAAAAAAAAAACATATTTACCTGTCAGCGTCTGTCAAACTACAGTGTGAACATGTTATTGAGAGTAAAAAAGAGAGGACTCCATATGAATCAATAAAGTGAGACTTAAGTCAACCTAGTATGGTGTTATATTTACAATGGCAAGTCTGTCAATCTTGGGCTGTGGAGTTGACCAATAACAGAGTTTAAGAAATGGCTCCATCCAATCATACCATTCATATGATTGGTCCATACGAGCGTAAAGGTTCTGCCTACTTTCATCGTGAGCCAATAGCCATTGACAAATCCAGTCACCTGTAGATGTAGGCTAGGCTGCGTTCACACAAAGAGTAGATGTAGAGCGAGAGAACACTCTGCGGTGACTTGTGTCTTTGTTTAATCTGCTGCAGTAGGAGGAGTGGACGCGAAGGAACATTTTCGGCTAAAATATTTTGTCCAATCCGTACAATGAGCTCTAAGTTATTACACGGGTACAATTCAGGAAGGTTGTCAATGCAATTTTATTTTAGCAACATTTCTATGTCTCATACGTTGTCGTATAAACACCCTATGCAGTCGAAAAACACACACATGCAGTTATGTTTTGTGAGCTATGCATTAACGTTAGACTGCTCCGTTACTTTTAGCCCTAATTGAATGGATTGCATATCTTCATTATTCTACGACTGCAGTGCTATTTGGGAACAACTGCCATTTTAGACTGAGAACTCGTTTGACTGTAACACCCGCCGCTCGTCTCGCCGCCACCGTCGTCTAGACTGTATAAAAACCCACCAGTGGATGCAGGCGAAAAAATATGGTCACGGGAACAAATAACTATTGTCCGCGATTGCGCATGCTCTTTAATCTGTTGCTACTCAGTTGTTGTAGTTACCAGGAAGATTAACCGCGATGATCAACTGGCCCTGGTGATACCAGCTAGCCGTTAGCAGGCTCTCAGAAATAAAGGCAAGTTTATGTTGGTGTGTGTTTGTATGGCGTTATAAAAACGTCAACTTAAGGGGTCTCAGATTTCAGATTTCACCTGGCTAGCTTCCCATACCTAAAGTAACATGTCAGTAAGCCTTATTTAGCTAACGCTTGTTGTTCTGTCTGTCTTTAGTTTGATCTTGACGTCTTCTGTCTAACGTAAATAGAAATATAGCGTCCACTACAGGGAACTTAGAGCTACAAAGCAGCTGTTCTCGGCTAACTGTGGGCTAACGTTAAATGTAAAGCACTGCTTCAAGACTGTACGAATGTTAAGTTACATAATTTGTTATCGAGTCTTAGTAACGTGGTTATTAATATACTATTCTATATAACGTTAAATGGACTGGCGTTGATTGGAGATGAGCTGAGCTACTCATCTGTTTTTTTTTGGTAGGTGCCATGGTAAAACCTAGACACCTGATCCCAGGAAGATTTCGCCGGGCAGCTCGTCCCCTTTTACTGTAAGATGCCAGCTGTCATCCGGGATAAGGAGGACTCTGAATCCTCCTCAGATGACGAGCAAGAGTAAGTATTGCTCAAAATGCTCTGTCTACATCACATCATGGTGACTGTGGTCTACTACCGCCAGCATCAGAAACAAAGGAATAAAACACATCATCCTACACTCACTACCATTAATATAATCATTGTCCCCTAATCTTGAAGTTAACTAAGGAAAGCCCCATCTCTAATCTCCATTTCTTTTTGTTGTTGGGATGTTTATGTTGCCTTTGTTCAAGTCAAGTCAGTTTAATTTAGCCCAGTATATCAGAAATCACAAATCTGAGTCTGTCCATAGACCAGTAATTCTGATAACCTTTAACACTTTACTCACCCAAATGCAAAATCACCTCAATGTTAATAACATGCCTGTGCAAAGCGCGAACCCATAAATGACATCCTTAACCAGATTTGTTCATTCTTGTGCTTTACATTACCTATTTATTTATTTATGCCTATTTTTTTATACTTTATCAGTTTTGTTTTATTTTTTTCACATTCAGTTTTGTGAGAGTATTTTCTCTTTCAAAACAGTTATAAACTGGACAGAAGCTATTTCTCACAGTCCCTGCAGCTTGTGGCTGTCTGAATTTAGCAGGTCTCTTTTAGGGCCGGATAGGTCCTAAGCTTACTAGTCCTTCTGGGAATACCTCACAAGATCGCCCTCTAAATACAGTATTAATGTGACACCGATTTGACGAAAAGCATTGTTAATTTTTTTTCGGCTCCAACAAAGTCTTTCTCTTTGGAACTTGCCATAGTTTATTGAATGTGTAAAGCAATCTATGCAGGTTTACTGAAGAAGTCCTGAGCCCTGTTTAATCATTCATGCCAAGAAACATTTAGAGAAAATTAAGCCTTCAGGTTCATTTTGCATACTTGATGAAATTTTAACTGCATGAGAGAGAAGGGCATCTAGCTCTGGATCATAGCTGCAACAGTTGGTCTATGCTATCTTGTCTCTGCCAACTAATTCCCTCTTAAGCTATACTTAACTTAGTCATACCTTACTGAGAGCCACTGGCTTGCTTTTAGGCTAATTTCCATCTCCTGAATTAGTTTTGATTGCTTACTGTTAGGGTTTAACCTCCAGGTGACCCGTGCTGTTACCAATGGGGCTTTTATACACTGAGATTATACCAGAGCAGTGAAGACATAAGAGTATCAAAAAACCCTGTCTACTCACACACTTGCACTACTACAGTAAAACATTTTGATTTCCAAACAAGCATCGCCTGCACATTTGATTTCAGCCTATTACATTCCTTTTGCTCTAGTCTTACTTGAATTAGTTGACATTTACATGGTGTAGAAGTTTATGTCAACAGACAACCCTAAATAATACAAAGGAAACAAACAAAATATAGCATTACAGGTAAATACAGGAATCGCATAGCACACAAAGACATACACATGTAAGTGTATGTACACTTATGTATGTATAAAGCATGCATGGAGACTAAGGGGAGGTAGCACACATGACTAAACATAATTTCTAGCAAAAGCGCCGTATGTTGTTAAGTCTCTCACATCAGTCAGAAGTAGATTCTAGTCACGTGATGCTCTGAAAGAAAAGGACGATTGGCTAAAAGAGTTTTTGGTAATATGCAGTCAGCAGTTCAGAAGTGCCTACATGTAGTTTTCTTCTGAATTCTGATAGCATGAGAGTACCAGAGCCTTTGTGTACTTTATAAACTAATAACAACAACTAACAAATATTTGCAACTTAAATGGCTATACTTTGCTAAAATATTACTGTGATGGAAGAAAACCTTTCACACCTTGTGTGTATGGTAGCGCAGTAGTCTTGATGGTGGTTTATTTTCAAAAGAAACAACAGGTTTAAATATTATGACACTACCTTGTATAAGGGTTTGCAACAAAGCCATTTCACAGCGGGAAAGATATCTGCCGTATTGTCCGACATACCTGGATACTTAAGCTAAGGGCAGCCAATTGTTTACATGCCTCTCCTCCTTATCTAGACCAACCATGCCTGATTGAGTTGTACTCCATCATCATGCTGCCTTATCTTATTTTGAGATGATAAGCAGGCTGTGTCTGGTACTATCAGATAGTCTGCAGTTTTACAAGTGTGTTTGTTAGTATAATACATGGGTTTGTTATTGCCCAGCACCTCCTGAAACTGTGTGTGGTTCTGTCTCTATCTGCCTGACTGAAACAAACACCATGTCAGGATACATTCCCTCAGCATTAGGTAAACTACCCATATCATCTGGGAGTGAACGCCAAAGATTTTGGGCTGTGAATCTCTGTGATATTGTTACAAAGTTTTCCTTGGGGTGAAATATTAACTGTGACAGTGTGTCATCTAATTGTTTTTCCACTAGAGACCATCCCTGCATTGCCTGGAGCGGCCTTAGCAAGACCATCCCAGTTCTCTTGTTTTTCCCCGAAGCTGCTGTTTCAAAAGATGGGAATATCTGCTGTATTGGAGGTACACTACAATTTGCTGAAGCTACAAAATGACTACAAATTTGCAGCTCCCAATAAGTTGGATACTGAGTATATTTTCTTGTCCTGTGTGTTTCATTTGCTCAGAACGATATAAATTGGCCTTCAAGATTGTGCGCACAGAGAGCCGCCTGGTACGAGGAATACTCACCAATCACGGATTCCATGAGGTAATGTTCTCCACTGCATCGTGCAAATTTAAAAGATTAGCCTAAATCTTGCAAATATGCATATTTTTTAAAGCCACACATGCTATTTATGTACCTCTCTGATGTGTAGGATAAGGGATAGTAGGGCTGTCTTTATTTCCTTTGACTAATAATGCCGATAATGACAAAGCCCGGGAATGCACTGATGGAAAAAACCCACAAAACAAATGACCTCAAGAGCATTAATCCTGTTTCATGAGGGCACACAATTCCCATTATTGCTCTCTCCAAGCAGTTACAATTAATTCCCTTTTTATTTCATTTCAATGCTTCTTGACTCCCGCTAACCCATCATCAAAGGCAGACGAGTGTCTACCACAGCTGCGACAGAGCCAGACTTTAATAAGACTTTATTGCAAACATCTGGCTCTCCCCTAGACACTGAGCGGCCATGTGAATCCTGCCTCCTAACGAATTGTTGGAGTAAAACAAAACAAAACAGATAAAATAATATGAGAGTGACGAAAATCTGCTGGCCTTCATTTTGAGATAATTTCTAAAGAGCAGGCTGTGTTTCTCCAGGTTAGTGACAGAGTGTCCGATCTGCTTCTTAGATTCAATTTAACCGAGCTGTCATATGTGATGGACATCAGAATATAATACTGCTGTTGGTGACTGAGCATATTCAGTATGAGCAGCAATGGCTGTACTTGGATTTACCGCTTTTTTTTTCAATGATCCCGTCACAGAGGTTGTTTGCTCTGTGTGTTCTGAATCTAAAATATTTGAAACAGGTTGTCAGTTGAAGTCAGGCCTTCTGTCTGTTTTTCAGGTTCACCCAAATAGTGTTGACTTTAACCTCATGTGGACAGGATCTCACCTCAAGCCTTACGTACTGCGGAGTCTTCAAGACTTCCAGAAGGTCAACCACTTTCCCAGGTATAATAGAGTGCTCAAATGCATGAAAGTATTTTTCTGTGTTATAAATATCGCCACAGAGCCCGTCAGTTCAGGCAACGTGTTTGTTCTTGGCTTCCACTGTAAAGTGCATTTAGTTTGGCCCGGTACCTCTCTGAAACATGAAATGAATCATACTGTCAGGCAGAGGGCGATCTATTGCTGTAATGCATGCATGTATTTTGGTTCTGTCAGTGTGAAAGCTGTGGAGTGGGTTTTAAAACTGGAGGTACTGCTCATTTCCAGGTCATATGAATTGACGCGCAAAGACCGCCTGTATAAAAACATCCAGCGAATGCAGCAGACTCATGGCTTCAAAAACTTCCATATCGTTCCTCAGACCTTTGTGCTTCCGTCTGAGTTCCAGGAATTCTGCAGTAAGACACCTCTCCCCTCGCCCTGTTTGTCAAAGTATACCTCTCTTTATGATGTTTGTTTACAATCTTTGTAAATATACATTTTTCTTTCCGTCTGCCTCAATCTCAGATTGTTTTGCCAAGGACAAGGGCCCATGGATTATTAAACCAGTAGCGTCTTCAAGAGGCCGAGGCATCTACTTGGTCAGCAATGTGAGTGATGTTCGCCCACTCTGCGAGCTTTTACTTTCTAATACAGTGGTTCCCAACCCTTTTGGTTTGTGACTCCGTAAACTGAAGCAATGTCCACCCGTGACACCTCGGCACACTTCATGTCCTCGGTGTAGATACGGGTTGTGAGCAGTTTCACCTCCTGATTTGGAGGATTTTTAGTGACCTGAAGAGGAGAGCTGCACCTTATTATATTCATGTTCCAGAACAGTCTAAACACAAGATATTCTGAGATATTTTGTTATTTTATTCCTGACTTTTTTTTCTTATCGCTTAAATCGTATGCCTTAAATCTTGCCGTTGGGAACAACTGCTCTATTACCACCTTTCTGTCTAGGGGGAAGTGAATAGGCCAACATATGTTTGAATAGAAAGGGAAATTGGTTCACTTAAAAATTGTGTTTCTTGTATGCTTTTCGTTTCTTACTGTGTTTATAGCAGGTAAAACAGCACAGAGGCATGGGATCTGTATGAGCAAAGCTTTGTGTTAAAGGAATAGCTTGCAGTACTTGCTTTCTTGCTGAGAGGTGAGAAGATCGGGACCACCGCTAACTCTGTAGCATAATCTTTATGCTAAGCTAATCTAACCAAATATTAACGACAGCGTCAATCAGCCTTTTCTGTTTGTGTGAACATTTTCTAAGTTCCTCCTGATTTACGCGTTAACACAGATTCACATTAACAGCAAACCTAGTGGGAGATAAGTGTAAGCATACTGACTTAAAAAGAACTGTGTGTGAACTGAAACAGTCACTTGGCCTGATGTTGTATGTCAGTGGGGGTGTGGGCTGGGGGCGTGTGTACAGATACAGCTGTCTCTGAAATACTGTAAGTATCAACCAGTGTTTCAGACATTAATAAGCTTTGTGGAGTAAATCACACTCTTCCAAAGGCTTGGGCGTTTGGAGGAGCTCAACAAGGTTCTCACTGTTGGAAAACATATGCACCATCCTTCTTCTTCTCAGGCATTTTTATGAAACAGTGGAAAGAATGTCGGAGCGATATTTGGAGAGAAGAAAGAAATACGTTCACTTTTTTGGTTCAGGTTTTCTCTGAACTGGAGCCAGCGCTGAGGTTACCCCTGCTTGCCCCCACCCTCCCCCGTCCCATCTCCTCTCAACTTCGCCACCTGCAACACATTTCAACCTCATAAATGACCCATCTCCCACCACCAGATTGGGTTTTTATAGGCTGTTATTTAACGCTGACCTGCTATGGCCGGTGTCATTGCAGCCTCCAACATTTCTTGCTCCAATGATTCTTTGATGTTAATGGTTAACAGCAGTGTCACGTCATCTATTTGGAATTCAGTATCTAATGCTGTTGCGCATGAATTAATATATGGTGAAGTGCTGCGAAACACAAAGAAATGATGCATTTGCCATTGAAATGCTAGTCATACATATTTCCTTTTTTGTGTGTCATCTGCAGCCAAATCAGATTTCAATGGATGAAAACATCTTGGTGTCACGTTATATTAATAACCCACTACTGATTGATGGTGAGTTCCTTTTTGACACCTAATTGCTACAGACACAGCTTCATTTGTAAGCATTGCTTTGGCTCTCTGAGTAATCTGTGTGAATTACCTTATTTCTTTTTTTTTTGTTTACAGAGTTCAAGTTTGATGTGCGGCTGTACGTGTTGGTCACTTCATACGATCCACTCCTCATCTATGTGTATGAGGAGGGCCTGGCCAGGTGAGCCATGTGTGTGTTTGGTTTTTCTTTTGCATTGTTTGTGACATTGTTGGGATAATGAGCACCTGACACTACAGCGATCACCGATCTTCTTGGGGGCTTAACAACTTTTACACGCTACAAACTAGCACTCAATATAGTATGTACTTCTGCCACTGCAGAGTGTTACAATGTTTAAAGCTGTTGCCTCCATAATGGTTTAATCAGGTTCGACTTCTGACAAAATAAGATATAAATAACATGTGAAGAGTGTGAAGAGTAATTAAGTTCAGTATTAGAATAGGGCTGAACAATTAATCAAAATCGCAATCAGCCTACTGCAATTTTCAAATCGCAGGAGGTGTAATATTTGTTAAAAGTGAAATGTTTGTCAAAATACCATTTAAAATTAAATATTGCCGTGCTGCAGAGATGTTCTGGCCTACACATCATAATCTACAGGCTTAAGAAATCATCTTTGTTTGGTACAGATCCTTGCAAAATCACACTATAATCATTTAAATATGTTTTTCAATAAAAATTAGAATAATTATGTGAACAGGACCATTCCCTCTAATATTGCAAATTGTATCGCAATTGCAATTTCAGTCAAAAAATATATATTATATTATATTATAATATAGATATTTTTTCTAAAATTTTCAGCTCTTATTGAGAAAAGCATTCACCAATTGACTGCATATGTTTTTGTTTATTTATTTATTTTTTTACACATGAATAGTTAATAAAATATACTGTTGTTTATCATCAGTAAACATGCTGTCCGTCCTTAAGGCTTGCAGTAGATTTTCAGTGGTGTGGTGTAGACACCGCCAGGTTCATGCTCTGGAGGCACACTGGTACTCACTCAATGCCCAGAAGAGGGCAGCCTTAACTTTTCAGACTAACTGCTGCGTAGTGTGTGTTGTGGTGGCAACTCTGAAACAAAGCACTCTATTGTTCCAGTTGAAGAATGTGCATCATCAAAAGTTGCTGATATTATCTTATATTTTATATAGCACGGATAATTTATGAACCCAAGAAGCGGCAATTGTCAGGCACACGTAGGTCAGGAGAGAGTAGATGATTTATGGAGCCACTGGCTCTTCGCACTGGTCTTATAGGGTTGCATGCTGGAAAAAGAGAGTGCCACCGCCCTCTTGTTTGCTGGCTTGATTATCAAACGTGAGCAATAAATCATGGCCAAATTCTGAATCCCACTTTTACCTCTTGACATTCCTTTGGGTTGTGCTGGTATTCAGGTACACAGTGCGTTCCAAGGAATTCTCATTATTGCACATGCGGCATCCAATCCTCTCAAACACTGCCAGAAACTAATCTCTCTCCAGAGTGCCCCTATCATTCAGTCAAGTGTCAGCCTTATGAATGTGGTCATTATCACAGATAGATAGGTAGTGAAACTGTTGGATGACAAGTCGTGTTATTTTTTCCCTTGTACAAATAAACGCCGTCTCTCTGTCTACAGATTTGCCACAGTCAAGTACGACCTGACTTCAAAGAACATAAAGAACACGTTCATGCATCTCACTAACTACAGCGTGAACAAAAAGAGCAGCGATTATGTCAGGTAACTTTCATCAGCGATGAACATACATTGAATGGGGAGCTGTTATGCGAAGCCCGACGTACTCATCCATTTATTATAACTTGAGTGTTTGAAGAGCATTTCTTCCTTTTCAGTTGCGATGACCCTGAAGTTGAGGATTATGGGAACAAGTGGAGTATGAGCGCAGTGTTGAGGTATTTGAAGCAGGAGGGGAAGGACACCACATGTGAGTTGAACCTTTGTTTTCTTCCCTTTCTCCTCCTTTTCATCTTTTCCTTTTTGTTTGAGTAAAATATGCCCGGTTTGCAGTTGCATTTCTGAACCCCTGTTCAATTTGTTTCCATCGGATTCTAACAAAAACTGTCTTATCAAGTAACCAAAACAAAATAACTCTTGAGTGCTGCAGAAAAATAATTGCTTAATTTTGTCTATTCCAGTGCTGATGAGACAGGTGGAGGACCTCATCATCAAAGCTGTACTGAGTGCTGAACTACAGATAGCCACCGCCTGCAAGATGTTTGTTCCGCACAAGACAAATTGCTTTGGTAATCGTTTCATATTCTTCTTAAAAACGGTTTTGACCATACTGTAAGTAAATCAATCTAGTCCACCAAAGTTTAACAGCTTTACACCTGCACTGATCTTAATGTTGGTGGCTAGTTTGAAGGTGAAGTACATCAACAGTGAAACAAGCTGTCCAGGGAAAACAAAAGTTTGGATATTGCAGCGTCACAAGAATTTCCTTTAGAATGAAATCTGAACAAATTCCCTTTTTTGCTCACAGTGCAGATGCATTCACACGCACTTACGACCACACCCCTAACATTTCCTTTCAGTTTCATATTCATTGTGCAGCAGTTCCTCTATGATATTTCTCCACTGAGCCCCTCCTGCCTATTGCTGTCCCTCTGACAGGCTGCCGGTTCGTGGAGGGCCTATTGACTGAAGCAGGAATTTGCTTCCTCCTCTCTGTTGCCATTCAGGTCTAACTGATTTAGGCTGACTGTTTTCTTGGCTGCTCCTGCCTAGCAGCGGGCTCGTGTGAACTCCATTTTGGAGCCATTACCCATGTTAGTGTTGGCACTAATTGTCTGCGCACTCTCCCTCTGTCTGGCAGTCTCTCTGAGATTTGGGGTTTGAAAGCGAGCACATTGGCCAAGCCTCCCTCAGCACTGCTGTCTCTTTTTCACTCTCTTTTTCTTCTTCTCTCTCTGTTTCTGTTTGTTTATTATTCCCCCTCTCCTGCTCACACTCTTTTTCACCTCACAGATGCTAGAAAAATAAAGGGCTTTGCAGTTGTGACAGGCTTCTGTAGACATAATAGCCCCTCTGATTGGTGGTTGTTTGGGCTGTTATTGGGCGTGTAGCATCATGGACAGATAGTCGCCTGCATAAAGATGCTATCTGCTCCCTGAGCATCGCTGCTAGGTTGAAAAAGCACATTTGCCCAGGGTGTGAATGGTGACCATGCAGGTATTTACAGGGAAGTGTGGCTTACCAAGACTCAACCTGGCTCTCATACACACTTGATAGACATGAAGAAATGACATATCTTTGGTGTGAGAGGGACAATCAGGAATGGAAAAACAAGTTTGCTCTTATTCTCATTCATTTATTCAGTCGGTGAGCCAGGAATATTTGTTTATATACATCCCCATATCCCAATGATGATAAATGCTTTATGGAAGTGATGCAAATTTACATACTACATTGCACTATACTTTATTTACATTCCTTTGCATATATAAAGAAAACTCTGCTCCTGCATAAAAAGATCACCTGATATTTTTTTGGTATAGTATATTGAAATATTATACATAAGCCTATAGAGACCTGTATAGACATAGATACTACAGCGATGTCATTGTGTAGTACAAAAGCAATTAAGTTCTACACCTTGTACTGAGATACATAATACACTGTGGTCTGATGTGAACATGCCCATTACCCTACTTCAGCTGTATCAGTTTACTATTGAATTTAGTGTAATTTTGTTGTCTTCAGATGGCCCCGAGCGAGTAAATTGCAGCATTCATAGTCTGTCTACAGGATTAAGTTTCTGAAGAGAGACACTGATGATTCCAGAGGACCACCCTCCTCCTCTCTCTGTTGATCTGTCTCTCACAGTGTGGTCATGTTGCATGCAAACTCCCTGTGCGTGTGTGAGTATGTATGTACAGAGACATGTAGGAACCAGTGTAAAGTGTGAGTTTTACAAACACACAGGTCTGTCTAAGCTTCAGGGAGCCCTGTCTAGTATTTCTTGTCTCTTACATAAAACCCACCCAAACCACCAAGGAGTCATATTCAGTCAGCAGTTGGCTTTCGTCTCTTCTTGCACTTACTACTTTCCCACTCCTTCTGCAACCTACATTACACCATGCATTCATCCTGGTCCTCGGCAGCTGCCTGTAATAGTAAACAGGTACAGCATCAGAATGCAGGGCAGCGAATACATGCGTGTTAGGGCAGTGAATGTGCTGATAAAAGCAGCCATTGTTTAGAGTTTTTATACGGTCTCTGGCTTGTCTGGAAGGGAGCCATGCAAGATCATGAAGCACATTATAATCTTAATTTACTGCAAATTGTTCCCTGCCATTTTAATGCCTATTAATGACTTTTAATACAATGTTTATTGTTTTCAAATGGGATTTCTTCTCTTTGCTCAAATTGCACATCCGTATCTTAATGGGCACACTGTAACAAAATCTTTTTATAGCTCCGTAATATTTCACGTTGGAAGAAATAAAAACAACAGATTTTTCATTTTACAGTACATTGGTAAGAAGTGTGTGTGTGTGTGTGTGTGTGTGTGTGTCTGTGGGGAGAAAATGCCACCCATGCAGCTCCTTACCGCTGCTGTGTGATTAATGGACAGGCTTTTTGCTGAGGGATGCTGATTACGAGATGTTTTGACTAAGATCTGATTAGCCAAGCCAAAGGCCTATTTTATTACACACAAAACATTCCACTTACTGGTCCTGTGTTCCACTGAACGTCCCTCATTAAGTGCTGAGTGTGGTTGGATCCCCCGTCTGTGAACCACTCTCCCTGTTTTACATTTGTCAGATACTCCCACACTGCAGCACAGTGTTGGTATGCCTGTGATGACAGTGTGGCTGCTGTATAATTCAAAATCTTTTTAAGAGTGATTAATGGGTTGGGCCCCGCTATCATAATAAGGCTATAGAGTGTTAACTGTAACTTTAATTTGTTGTCCTCAGAATGTTTTCATGGTTGTGGCTCCAAGCTGCTCCACTGTGCTCCCTGTGACAGCAGTGGAACAGTTCAGCGGCAATAATTTGTCTCAGAATGATGCAAGAGTAATTCAATTGTCCTCGCCTATGAAGAAAACACACATAAAGGAAATACTTTATGTTGCTGTTGTTGTTATGGGCCAACAGGCTGTATGGCCAGGGTGGGTAGATTATTGTTTTTGGGCGTTTGTCTCTTGTGGTAAAGCTTCCAGCAGCGCCCATCCAGTAATAAAAAAAAGTGCTCTTCATCATCCCTTTTCTGTGTCACATTTTTCTCCCCCTCCCTCTTTAACGGGTGTGATGTGGATGTACGCTGCCTCTCCTCTCCTTGTCTGTGATGCTTGTTGTGGGCTCTCTGCGGGCACATTTAACAGCACCCGGCAGCAGTCAAGCCATACAACAAACGTGTCTAGCAGCGAGCGGCTCTGCAGGCTCATGGGGCAGCAGCGGCGTCTGCTCCTAATTGGGGGAAAATGCACGGCACATGGAGTCGGCTTGTCGGGGGTTGGTGAGGTGGTGTAACACCTCCCCATTTTCCCCTGTTGTTGTGGTGCCACTGGTGAGGCACTGCCGGCCCAAACCCATTTATTCCCTGAGACTAAGGCATAATGTTTTATGACATACTCACTCTCTCCATCTCATTTTTAGGCTCAATCATATGTGTGTGTTTTTATACAAAAGTGGATAGAGTGGGATAAGCCTGCGAGTGGAAAATAAAATCTTCGTGCTCTGCTTAAGCGAGTACTGCTTAGCAGTGGGGGTCCAGTCCATCCTCAGAAGTTAAAGAAGTTAAATATGGCAGTGGCAGCTTCAGTTGCAGGTCTTGGCTCAGAGATGTATGGCAAACTTTGTTCAGTTCCATCATGAAAGTACAGTTTTCACTTACACCAATTTGGACCTCATGATGCTAGCATATGTTGAGCTCCTGACCCGTGTAATATAGCCCAGTGAACAAAATCCAGTGTGCATTTTCTCCAACTTGTCTTAATACAGGAATGAAAACACAAGTAGAGAAAAAAAACATACAATGAATGTTTTCACTTCCATGAAACTGGGGGACTCACAAGAGACAGATCAAAAAAAGAAAAGTCAAAATGGAAGCAGTCTGGAAAAACCCTGGATCCTACATTTCTTATAGTGCAATTCGATAGCGTATTTCGTTAGCGTCTCCACGTCTGGTAAATGCCTATGTATTTCAAACTCCGTGCTCCCATTTTGTAACACAGGCTATCTGTAAGTCTCCAAGGCCAAGCTGAGAAAATCCCCAATTAGCCATTTTCATAAGCTGAGTAGTACTCCTGAGCTTGTTGTGTAAAATCAGGACTCCTTTAATTGAAAGACCAAATGCATACAACCTGGGACTAGTTAGACGCTGGATCCACACTCTGTACTGATGATAAATTAATTTAAAGATTGCAAAGTTTTAAGGTTAAGTTAAGATTGTCTTGAATTAAGGGGATTGCTGTATTAAATCAAAAATAATAAATACACTATACAATAAATAAAAACACAGTACATAAGAACACATGTGCATACATTAGCCAGAGATAACAAGGAAATTAGTCAAAAAAGTCAAACAGTTCAAAGGCATACATCTCAAAAAGTACACACCACCAAAGATCTAACAGATGTCTTTGTCAGACATTGTCTCTACATTCTGTATGTCCCAGCTGGAGATTAGTTTTACAGATAACTACAATAAATAATGCACAGCCTAATAAACGTAACTGATCATGTTAAACTAGAATTGCCCGGCCTACCATTATTCAGCCAAGTGCAATATCAAGCAATTGCTTGCTGTCACACTGGCTTTTGTATGCTTAACACTGGCACTGACCTAAGATGCCTGAACAAACAGTGCTGGTTATGGCAGCTTTGAAACCCCCATCCCCCTGGCCTATTCTCAACACAGTCTTTTCTTTTGAAGTGCCATTAGAAGGATTTTTCCCCTTTCTCTATGGCTAGGCTTTGCCCTATCCCTGTAAAATACTGTGGTTTTCCCTGCACGCTGCCGCTGGGGCCGGCGGGTCCTTGGCTTATAGGGTGACACTCCCCAGAGCAGAGTGAGGGCTGTCATGGGGCACATAGGCCAACCTCTGTCGCAGTGAGCAATATATCACTCAGTGAAACAAGAGGGAAACTTTGGCCAGAATAGATGAATTTTTGATCAGGGGAACTTTCTGACCATTTTGTAAAAAGCTTTTATTCTGTCACTCAGTGCTAAGCTGTTACTGGAATGAAATATATACAGTATATAGCTTAAAGCTCTCTAATTCCCCGGTTTCTGCCACTTGGGACACACTGTCAAATTTCCAGCTTTGTACTTCTTGTTCATATTTTATTGCCGAGTTGGACAAGATACTAACTGTAGAATGGGGCTGAAGCTTATTCTGCTACCAATTAGAAGCCGTTCTTCTTGCTAATAAGTAGTGACAATATGTAGACTGCTTAACATTTCCTGTCATGAGAAAATTATCTACTGTATTTATGAAAATATTCACAGCCACAGCGTGATTTTGATCTACCGTCTTACGTAAGCAACTTCATGACAGATGAAATGTGTATGTACTTAGTTAATGCAATTGAGCCAATCCCTCAGTAGCAGGCTTTGGTGAATGTTTCTCTCTTGAGTGATTGGGTATATAACATGCGTGTAATCAGTAGCAGAAAAGCAGAGGCCATGTTGCCAAATGCCACAAAATGGGGGCTATGATAAAACTCTTGTGACTTTGATAGCCTTCATCCTTTATTTTTGGTGAGCAAAGTTTCTAATTCTGCTCCTCTCTGCTGACTTCCCAGTCTGTGGTGAAAACCGCTTGATTTATGTTGTGTTTCCCTCTGTAGAACTGTATGGTTTTGATGTGCTCATTGACTCCAACCTCAAACCCTGGTTGTTAGAGGTGAACCTTTCTCCCTCCCTGGCCTGGTGAGTGACACTGTGTTGATCGTTTGATTCTTTATTTTGTTGTTTCAGGAGAATCTCTTACTGAAACTATGTATCTTTTTATGACAGCTGCCTTATTTAGCTCTGCCCCTGTGCATGTGTATTTTGTAATCTTTGTTATTTGTTCTTTTTTTTTCTCAAATCGACTAATTTACAGTGATGCGCCCTTGGATCTGAAGATAAAGGCCAGCATGATTGCGGACATGTTTTCACTTGTGGGTGAGTGCATGCTGAAACAATGATTAAATGCAACTTCCATTTGATTCCAAAGCTTTTCCACCAGTGATTGCACTTCATAGACATTCAGTTTGTATAAATTCACTAATTACAGCTAGGTATTTAAATCCATAATACTCGTATATTAAATGCTGGTGAAATAAAGTACACCAAATAAGTAGAAACCTTAAAGATCTAAGAACAGAAGCCTTCCATAGTTTAAGTTATGTTATTAAACAACACATAAGTAACAGAGGAGGAAAAACGTAAATACAGCACATTAAAAGTCATATAAAAATATTAGGATAACAGATTTGTATTACTGAGGATTACTAAGAACATTTAAAATATTCCATCAACAACAATTAAAAATGCAGAATTTAGCTGGAATGTCTGGTTTTCAACAGGAGTCAGTCCTTTTTTGGTAACAGAGGGTCAGTCATATTCAGAGCTTGAAAACAAATCTATACTGACTATCAAGATGTTCTTAGATAATTTGGATTAATCATACTTTTGAATGAAAAAAAGAAATAAATAATAGGTGAAATATATAATATTTTGCTTCAGGTACATTCAGACATTATCTGTTGCAAAATGATATAATTGGGATAAAGATGTTCATTTTGGAGAAGCTAATATAAAATGAAAAGTGCTGTAATTATGCAGTATTTTTCTTTGCTAGCCTCACTCCAAAGGCATGGATGCTAGTAGTGCTTTGAAACCAGCAGGTTTCAAGCAGGTGGAGACAGCCATCTATTGTTTAATGCTTAATGTTTTCCTACATTCCACTCGTAGAGGTTGTGCAAACTGCCGAAAATAGCTGTATGGCTTCATAATGGGGGCTCCAGTGTTGAGAGAATAAACCGCAGCCTTCATTAATTAACAGTTAATGACTTGCGGACAAAAGGCCTTTGTTGTTTTGTAGTCATTAAGCGTTCTTGAGAAACTGGATCTGACATGTCAAACTAAAGCAACCTTTAGAGTCAAGACATTTAAAATGCCTGGCCCAAGGCAGAGATAAACACTGTTTACACAACAGTGTTTGTAGCATGAGATGCGTCTCTGCTATGTCGCCTCCCTCTTAATTACTGAATTCTCATGCAGCTATTAATATTTTGTGATATGTAACCCAAGGAGACTCTCATTCCCTGACCACTACCACAGAGGTGCACACATGCAGTCTGAGAGCTTGTCTTTATCCTTGTACATCTCCTTGTAGATTGCTTAACTTCACTTAATCCTCTAATTTATCCTTATTACGATTCACATTATACAGGGAGCCTGCTGATTAGCAGGCGTCCATCTAAACTGGCACTGACCCATTAAGTCTATCTGTGGCCTAATGATATTACAGGAATTGCTGTTGTGTGTGTGTGCATATGTGTGTGTACGTTTGAGTGCACATATGCATGTGTGTCTCAGCCTAGGCCATGCTGTGGCTTGAAACCCTCCCCTCTGGCTCATTAAATGAAAGAGTAGAATCATAAATTGCCAGTTATCTTTGGACTGAGACGTTATTGCGGGTCTGGGGAAAATGAGCAGTGGCATGTAAAACATAGCACATCTATTATGTACCAAACAAACTAAGTCGCTGTTGGCTGATAACACTTGGGCTGCATCCCAGACCTGTAAATAATGATAGCATTCCATTAGCATTTATTTTCCGCCTGTTTGTAGCTGTCTGCTCCGTGTCGCCCATGTTTGTAATAATTGCTGTGTTTAGGCAAGAGCATGGCAGGGCCTGGTTCTTACCTGACGGCTTGGAGGAGGTAGCACAAATAGCCTCGAGCTCCAAGCTGTCAATAGACTCAAGTGTGACAGCAAGATACAACATAAACATATTTCTTTAACATTTCACTTTTGCCACTAGCTAGCTTTGAGGGAGTGTGTTATCAACTACCACTGAGATGTACTAAAATGTAAATGTGTGGAGCTGTACAAAACCAAAGTAGAGGATAAGAACATTCTTTCCCTGACTAAAAGTTAAAGGAACAGTTTGACATTTTGGGAAATATGTGTATTTACTTTCTGGCTTTGATCACAAGATGGATATCACTTTCATGTCTGTCATTAATATAAGAGGCTACATCCAGCAGTCAGTTAGCATAAAGATTGAAAACAAGGGGAAACAGCTAGCCTGGCTCTGTCTGACCGTAACAAAATCCACCTACCACCACATCTAAAGCTCCCAAATAAACACATTTTATCTTTTATTTATTTATTTATTTTTTTAAAATATGCACAAAAATATATGTTTAAAAATAATAATTTGCTGTTTTATGAGTTGTATGAGCTGTAACTTCCTAGAGTATCTGCTAGTTGTCTGGCTACTGCTCAGAGTCATCCGATGCATAACCCCTTATAAAGGAGAATTGTTGTTTTTATACTTGGTTTATAATTGTTTTTTTTACTCAACAAACAAACAAGACATGTTGATTAGTGAGCTTCAGTGAGGTTCGGGTAGCTGTTTCCACACTGTTTCCAGTCTTGATGCTAAGCTAAGCTGACCAGCTGCTGGCTGCAGCTTTATATTTAACAGACAGATGTTAAGAGTGATATCAATCTTATCATCTAACGCTTGTCAAGAAAGCAAATAAGCGTATTTCCCATAATGTTAAACTATTCCTTTAAACAAAGTCTGTGGATCACATCAGGGGGCTGTGGTTGTATTTTACACCAGTGTGTCACTATATCAAAACATGCCTTCCTTTTCTGACAAAAAAGTTATGAAAACATATACATCATATACATATATAACATATACATATATAATGTCTTTGAATTAGCATGATATTGTTAAAGATGTCATTGATTTATATGTAATTTATTGCCTCTGTGTCCCTCGCTCTACTTTGGCTCCTTGCACTAACATAAGGTCTGATGCAATGTATGAAGGTCATGGGAACAAGGAACATATTTAAGATGTGATGTCATTAATATACCCCTTTATGGCTCCTCTGTGTCCCCGCAGGCTTTGTATGTCAGGACCCCCTAGCGAGACAGGCCCGCTCTGACCGAGTCACCCTGGACCCCAGCCTCAAGCCCCCAGCAGCCCAAAGAACACAGGTACTGGATGCTCACACGCACACAAACACACACAGCAAAGAGCCAAGCCAAGTGTTGCACTCATTCACCCTTCCTTGTGAAACATTCCCATTCTTTTCTTCATCTCTCTTGTGCTTACAGTACATTCCTGCCACTGCCATTGAGCTCTTCTCTTACCCTCATGGAAAATTCAGTGTAATGCAAAACAACTGCTAATGTAATTACAATGTTTGAGTGACATCAGTTTGTAAGTGCTACACTCTCTGTGGCTTATTGTTTTATCATTTCTAATCAAGTGACTAATGCTCTAATGACTAATCTCTAGGCCTTGTTGCCTAATGATGCCACAACAGCTAATGCACTTGGCTCCCTCCACTCAACTACTGCACCCAGATTTGGCGCAGGATCTGCTGGAGCGAGATTACTAAATCAGACAGATTTCGGCTCCACCTTATGTTGTGTAAAAGTCATGTTTGGACATATAGGAACAAGGTTTTATTGTTGCATGTAGACATAGCATGCATGCTGTGTCTGTATGCGGCTTGCTAAAGGTTAAACGGTAATGCAGATGCTCACTCACAACTCACTGTCTTCACCCATTGCCTCTTAGAAACCTCTTTCTGTACCGACAGCCCCAGCACACAGCAGAGTGGTGAGTTTTCCTCTGACCCAGACATATTAATCTTCTTCTGCTTTGTCCCGTTTTTGCAATGCTTTGATGGCTGTTACATTACCGGTAAGAAATTGCTTACTGCTTCTTGCTTATTTGATTATGTGACTTTACTATTTTTCATAGTGACAGACAGATTGCGTGTATTGATTCCTAATGCTGTATTTAATACAAATCTCATTAGCAAAGTGGCCTTAGTAAGCAAGTGCTTTAAATGCCGCAGTGCACCACTTGACCCAAAACTTTGAAACTTTGTTGAACACAGTCTCAGTGACGTACCTAAAACAAGCCCAACACTAAACCAGGGCTGTCACGGAGACTGTTGAAGAACTCCAGGGGCCTTCAGAGAACCTGTCCTCATCCTTTACTCTGATTAGGGGCAACAGTTGGGTCTTTTTCTGAAGGATTAGGCCTTGTCACTTTTTGGCTGCCTTTGAATCCCCCCAGCCACATCAGACAAATTAAATGTAATCCCCTCCTATTTAGATGACAAATTCTGTATGTGATCCTGGGGGGTTGTGCCCCGTTGTCTGAGACAAATTCCAACCTGCATGCCAAAGTTGTCAATCACAGCCTGGTAGTGCATGCAGCGGGGAGGCAGCCAGGAATGCCGATGCACAATAAAAATGTTCTATTTATGTGTCAGGGAGAAAAGAAGAGAGGGTGTTTTAGTAGTAGTTTTCACATTGTATATTTATAAATGAGAATTATGTTTCAGATCTGCATGTTCTTTGACTTCTTAATCATTTTTTTTTTATTGCAACTATCCTTACAACCTTTGAGCATACTACATGTGAGGAACTCTAACATCAGCAAGAATTTATGTAGGAAAGAGGAACGACAGTACATGGTTGGTATAAGTTTAGAGTGATATTGTCTCTACTCTTCTACCCTGTAGCGCCAGAGACCCGCATCAGCCAGTAACTCAGAAACAGAGGCGTCGAAAGACAAGCTAGGATCTAAACAAGCTCAAGGAGACAGCACCCTGAGCTTGACTGCTGAGGAGGTAAGGCCTTAATAATGGTAGCATGTGACATAATGTGTGTGATTTTGCTGAATGAAGACATTATGGGAACCTGAATGCACAGTAACTCTTTACAACTGTGTCCATTTCAGAACATGGCTTTTGTTTTCTTCCACTAATATAGATCAAAGTGCTGAGGAGGATAAAGGAGGAGCATGACAGACGAGGAGGCTTCATTAGGATCTTCCCAACCGCAGAAACATGGGAGCTCTATGGGTAAACTGAGCCATGAACAGACATATAGCTTGTAATCCCCAAGGGTTGTTTGTCTATCATGTTACTTATTATTATTATTATTGTTGTCTGCAAATGAGAGGGGCATTTAGGCTAATTTAATGCAATCAGTGCCTAAAGCCAGACCACACGACTCCTCTTGACTCTCTAATTGAACCACCAGACTGTAGGTGTAGCTACAGAGTTGGTATTTGTTGAACTCTTTGTATTAGGTTCCAAGAAAGGCTTACATCCCACGGAGGCTGTATGTTGAGATGGCAGTGAGGTCCTGTTAGAGAGGAAATCCATTTTTATGCTTACAATTCATATTCCTAAATGAGGATTTGTTGCTTGATTAGATCTGTGGCTCTCTTTTTGTGGCATTTTTAAAAGCGTATTATTGAGCGGTCTGGGAAATGATTGGTGCATTTAATAGTGGCTGCCTCCAGAGTGGCTATATCACAGAAGCCCCATTTTAACACATTTGCCGCAAATAATGAGGTCGAGGCTCACTGGGGCTCCTGCCTTTATGATTATTGTAATTTGCTTATTATCTTCTTCTCTCAGTGGATATCTGGAGTCCAAGACATCAATGAACTATATGCTGGCAAGCAGACTTTTCCATGGAAGGTAAGCATTTCCATTGTGGTTGGGATTGGGGAATAAATCTCTCCATCAGTTTGTGGAAACGGTTGCATTCTAACGTGGCGTTTGTCTTTTGATTGGATAGGTGAGAGGAACAGCTGAAGAGATGTTGCACAGTCATTTTTTCCAGCGCGCGCCCAATGTCTATGTGGCATTGCAGCGTTGATTTAGGGGCAGGAAAGGAAAGACAGTTATAGATGAACCACTTTTTTGTTATTGTAAAACATTTACATTATTTGAATCAGGTTTCATCATTGTCTCTCACATCAACTTCTGGACAAGCTACTCAACCACACTAATCTTTCTCAGAACTGGCTTCAGTTAAAGTTGAAACTCATAACTATTGCTCTGCTTTGTAATTGTTGATGATACACACATAAATCATCATAGTTGTTGTTATTACCATTGTGTTGACGTGTCTTGTTCTGTCTCTCAGGAATGCGAACGGGAATGTGCAGCTGCAGGTGGACGCCGTCCACAGCTGTCACATTGTCCAGTATGAGAGGAAGCTGCTGTCTCTGGAGGCACGTAAGCGGAGACAGCGCCACCTGACTCATCGCTCTGCTGCAGGGAAGAAGAAGCTGGGTAGGCCCGATGTGTTCTGCCTCAATTCATGCTTTTTTTCTTAAACTGACGCGAGTGTAGCTAAATGGGACAATATCACACACTAATGCACTTTTGTTTCCAATAAATAACTCCCCTGTGTCACTGTAAGGTTGGCCAAATATGACTCTGAATGAGTTCATTTCATTGCAGCAACAATAAAAACCCTATTTCGAGTGTATGTATTTTATCCAAAATGCCAGTGATGCAACTGACATTTGTCTTTCCTTGCAATGTTGCATACCTTAGGGAAGGAATCCAAGTCCTCCTTGACTGCAAACAGCCATCAGGAGGGAGAGGAGTGCGCTCAGGAGGAAAGCAAGGAGGCGAAACAAGTTCTTGAGCCAGTCTCACACAAGGCTTTGGTAGTAGAGCAAAGAAAACAAGTGGCCACACCATTGGAGCGCTGCCACAGTGAGGCTCTGTCCAGTTCAGAGGCGGCCATGCAGGATGCCAGGCCCGGAGTCAACCTGCTCATGAACATCCTTCAGCAGGGGTGGGACCTCAGGTCAGTTTGTATTCTGGGCTGCTGCTCAGGTTGGCTGCTGCTCCTGTCTTCCTCCCTTACTGTATTTTCTTCTCACTCACTCTTTTCCCCTCCTTTCCTGTTTTATAAAGAGAAATATGAAGTGCACTAATGCACCTTCCAAAAAGGATGAGAAGAAATGGAGCCACTCTTTACATAGGCTATGTTTTGATAAATTTTTGAACATTACCCTTGTGTAGCACCACATGGAAAACCAGGAGTCAGAATACTAGTTCTACATGTTTAAAGCCTCATCGCAGGTTGATCCACTGCCTGGTATTTGCTTTCTAATTACTGAGGTCAACATATGTAATTTCTTTGTTTACTTTCTGTATCAGAGAGTCTAAAAGTCGCCCACAACTTACATGTATAGAAAATACTTTTTTGGGACCATTTCTAACTTTTTGTAGTAACACTACTGTATGTTAACTAATCTCACTGAAAGCTTTAAACCTGCTGGTTCCTCCATCTAAAGGGAGTAAGTCTGGAGCAAGTGTAGATGAATAAACCATAATTAAGAGTTTGGTTAGACGTCTGGGATCTGCCAGAGTAGTCTGTAAGAAGGCTAGATCTTTCATTTTTAAGAAAATTATTCTGTGGTAGCTAAGTGAAGGGAATTGTGGTAAGATGTTATAAGCATACATGCTCCCAATTGACTGAATTAAAAAAACATCTTCACTTACACATAATATTCTTTTAATAAATATACTATATACTGTCAACACATATGACAGACATATGTAAGTACTATATAGATACTATATCAATGTGCAACAACGACTGCGGTTTGATGTTGATTTTTCAAAGTGTGGCTGAAATTATAATTTGAGGAGGAATTACAATAACAAGTCTGACTTTGTAGAAATTCCTCAGTGCTTGCCAGGACTGTGCATGATGCAGGGAGATTATGGGACAGCATATCATTGTTTGTGTTTGACAGCTTTTTCCAAAACATTTCTTTCTTTTTTTTTACCCAACTACAATGTTCTGACAGTACTCTTTCCAGGTTCACCTGGGCCACAAAGACAGTTTATCTTTTTGATAGCGGTTAGGGTTAGACAAGATACACTGTGTTTCAACAACTTTTGGCTGAAAAGTGATACATACCTGTTTTTGCTTTCTCTCTTTTTCTGGATGATATATCAGCAAATGGAATGAGTGTAACTGCTTGTTCCTTCTGTTGTAACAGATGTATCACAGAATCCAGTGCAACTAAATAGCCTTTACAGCCAGTTTAGAGTGAAATAGCAGTTTACCTAATGGATAAAGTTTATCATCTGCTTTACCTTTGCAGTTCTTGAAGATTTTCCTATTTCTCTACTGCCTCTTCCTTTCCTCTACAGTAAAGTGCAGGCCAGGATGGCCTTTTCCTCATACTTGCAGCGAGTCCAGCAAAGACTGGTGGCAGAGAGCAGGACTAACACCATCCCAGCTTGGCCAGACAAGGACGACGACCAAATGGTACAATGATAACCATTTTTAACCTCCTTTTCCTAATAAATTGACATGGGTGGAATACCTCTGGGCATTGTTTCCCCTTATTATCATTCTGTTACTCATATGTACCCTGGCTGTAGCTGGAATGTGTACGAGGCATTTGTGGCCACATAGAAGGAAAACGTGGTCTCTGTAAAAGTTACCCTGATTGGAAAGTCTGTATTGTAATGGCAAACATCATCATCATCATCATCATCAGTGACCTCAAACCTTTAGGGAAAATCAATGTGAAGTCGACCTCCAGGCCATTGCAATGGCGTTGAACCCTCAAAGGAGAAGCTTGAGTATGTGGAGCAGGATGAATCAGTGATTCAGGGCAGAGATAATAAAAGATGTTTTTTGTCTGCACAGGAGCTGGTGATTCGCTTCCTGAGAAGAGCAGCCAGTAACCTTCAGCAAGACATAAAGGTGGTCTTGCCCAGTCGCCAGCTACCACTCCAAGACCGCAGGCGCATCCTGTCCCAGCAGCTAGGGGAGTTTATCCGCTGTTACAACAAGGTACCCATTCCCAGACTCCCAGACTCTTTACCACAGAATCACAATTCTAAGATGTGATGCAAACATGGGAAACTTTGTGCATACTGAGTATACCTGCGGTCTTATTCTTTCTTATCTTCTCAGGAAACCGAACATATGGTGAAAAAACAGGAGAATAGCAAAGACGAGCATTGTGTTAACCCCAGTGTGTTTCAGGAGTACATCACTGCGGCGAGGTTAGTGAATTGGCTCGCCCACTTACCATTGTTTAGTGCTTGGCTCTTTACTGTTCCAGTTATATATGCTACTGTCTGAAGAGTGATCCCAATCTGCTATACACATTCATCTTCCGTCTTTTTTCCCCCTTTTCAACAGTGAAAACGATCTGGAAGAAGTACTGACGTTCTACACACAGAAAAATAAATCAGCCACCGTCTTCCTGGGAACAAAAGTCAGGAGTGTTAAGAAAGACGTCCATGAAGTAAATGCCTCAGGAGATTCAGGCAACTGTGATAATTCCAAAAGTGAGTTCCTCCTGTGTTTTCCCCCCCGATATTCTTGTCACTGTAGGTCTGGTTTATGTTTAATATTTTATCATTCAAGCACAGTAAACATGAATTGTTTAGATTTGTAAACCCCAAAAAAGTAAAGGGAAAAAGATTGAGTCATCTGGGGTGAAGAAAAGGTCAGCTTTAAATGATTAGCACTCATTGGGAGAAAACAAATGTGTGTCAGAGCCGAGGAATGGCTAACGGATGATAAAGGAGCTCTGGCTTCTTTCCTCCTTTGAACAGCTCTGCCTGTGGCCAAAAACGATTCCAGCGCTTCAGAGTCTTCACTCTCCACAGGGAAAGTCAGCAGTGACCCAGACATTGAGGCCACTGAGAGTCAGCCTTCTGTCCGTGCTTTGCCTGAAGACCAACAGGCAGCAGTTAGAACTGGTAAAACCCAGCCGGAGGTCCAGGCCTCCCAGCACTGCTCCAGCTTTCCTGTAACTTTAGACTGCACACACATTCATCTGCAGCACTGCTCTACCGGACCGACGTCCCTGCCTCTCCATTGTCCGCCACCGCCGCCACCTCCTCAGCCACCGTCCTACGCACAGTCCCTGGCAAAGTCTCAGTTCGGCCATTCTGAGACTCATTCTGACCCTCCTGCATACACCTCTGCCGTCGTGGTCACACAGCCCCTGAGAGCAACGTGGACAGCTGTGTCCACCGGCTCTAACACAGTCTGTACTGGACAACCATCCCAGGTGCTCAGGAGGATTCAGTCCTTTACCTTGTCGACGCCCAGCTCTGGAGCACCCTCTTCCATCCCGAGTGCCACGCACATCTACAGCCAGAAGCTCTCTAGACCCACCTCTGCAGGCCAAGGTATACTCACTATTCTGCATTCTGTTGTTCAAATTCACTCCCATGTTCTCACGGATGTGTTTTGTTATTCTGTGTGTCAGTGACCAGGAGGAGCAGCTCCAGTAAGCTGAAGTCAAACTCAGTGGAGACATTCAAGGAGTTAAACTCCCTGTCTGCGCAAGCCCAGTCTAACCAGCAGGCCTTCATCTCAGCCCTGCAAAAGCTGGCTGACAAGCAGGTTGCTTGCCACTATGCCAGTTCCAGTCACATCAACCTGCTGACACAACACGTGAGTTCATTATGTTTTTAACCTCTATAGCCCACTGCGCCAACAGCTACTCCCACCTGGAGCCGGAAGTTTCCCTGTGCTCGAATGAGAAGCTACACTGAGTTATTAAGCAACTGTAAACTGATCTGTGTGATGTTTCGTGTAAGGAAGAAGAATCTGGCCCCTCTGCAGTCTCTTGCTGTGAGGTCTCTGATATTTCTCTTTGTTGATGCGTAATCCTGGCTCTGACCCCATGCTGATTGGCGGCACCTAGCTGCTCATTCATTCACCAGACCTGTTGGAGCCGGAGGGTCTGCTGCCTCGTACCGTGCACCTTCCTCCTTCAGCCCTCAGCTCGCCTGCAGTCTGTGGGCTGGGGTTGGTGCGGGGGTAGGTCTGGAGCTGGGGTTTGAAGCTGGATGGCCTAAACAGTGGTGAGCCGCATCAAGCCTCAGCTCTGTGTGAGGTCTCATTATCAGATGCACCATGGGGGAGTGATTTCTGTTGATACTTAACAAGCAGCCACTTTTTGTGGTAATTGATGCTTATAAATAGAGGAATGTGGCAAATTGGCACTGAGCAGGGGAGCGGCAGCTCTGTTGGCTCCATCACCACCTTCTCCTATATTCCTCCAAAGGTTTGTCATTCGGTGTGGGGAGCCCCTCAACCTTTCCTCTCTCCTCCCCCTCCTCCTCTGCCTCACTGGATTTTTTCTGTCAAAGTTTTTTGTGATGGCACCAGACCACACAGACTGCAGATTTTATGGCTTCCTTTTGACTGTACATTATTCTGTCTATCTGAAATGTGTTGCTGTATTTCGTATGAATAGTTCATCCTGGGCTTGGCAGCAGTTTATTTTGCAGCGTATAATAGTCCAGTGTTTTGCACTTAAAGGCTCAGAGCACATTTTGTGTTTTTTTATTTTTTATTTTTAGGGCTCAGATTTGAAAGTCATTAAATCACTTGCTGGACTAAATGGAGAACTTTTTAAACACGAACAACACCCTGTTGCACTAGTTGACCTCTAAGATTTAAGTAATTACTCACTCTCATGCAAGGCCACATGTATACAACAGTATATGTAACAGAAACTTAAATTGAGCAAAGCCAGGCATGGCCACCTTCAATAAAGTGAATATACTCCTGCGCTATGATGCATAGATATGACGGTGAATCCCTTCAGCATGTGTGTATGTGCATATGTTTATGTCCAATACTTTATTATAAGACATCCCTACAGCACTCTGTCTCAATTAGATAAGCCAGTGTACATTACCTTATATATTATATACACTGGAGGATGGATACAGCCTTATGTGGTAAAGAACAATTCATTATGGTAGTTATGTAAAATGTTGATCTCTTGATATGACATATGATATATGTTTGACATATATATTTTATATTACGAATGTCCAGCAATATTGGCACCCACATGTGTGTTTTCATTTCCTCCATAAATCAAACAGTTTGTATGAATACGTCCAGTATACCTTAATAAGTTACTTAGAGCTGTAGCTGTGTAGCACCATGCTGACACATTTTTCACATGGTACAAGGCTTGGCAGCATTACAATTTTCCCATTGGACATTTAGTGCACAGGAGGAAATAAAGTAAATAAAACATCACAGCAGTATAATTAATTCTCCCATTAGATTTCAGTTAACATAATTCCCAGGGCAGTGCTGAGGTGCAGTTGCTACATTATTCCTGATGTGGCTGTAAACAGATTTTAACTGGCGAGTCATGATAGGTGATTCTGCTAGAGACGGAGGAGGAGGGGGGGGACCACCTGGATTTAGTGCTGAGCGGAGACTAGCTCTGCCATGTGCTGTGTGTACATTTCGCATGGCCCCCAGATACAAGAGAATGACGTGGTCGATGAAGGGAGGAACACAATATGAATGCTTATTCATCAAACATTTCCATTGCTTTAGACACTGGGATGACTAGTAGTGAAGTGTTTGGGTTAAGTGACTTAATGTTTGAATTTGAGTTGAATCATCTGTTGAAGTTTTCTCCTCTGCCCACAGTTGACCAACCTGAACCTGGCGAACAGGATGCTGAGCAGAGAAAGCTTCACACTGAACCCTAAAGTGCGGCATACTGCTGCTACAACCCAAGGGCCAGTGAAAGCTGTTCACTCTGGAACAGATCTATGTAGCAGCACTGGGTGAGTCCAAAGAGATGTAGCATATTTTGATTTAGACAAGTCTGTAATACCTAACTCTGGATGAAAATGGCATTTGCACCAATCCGATATTGATTTCTTATTATATAATATTTATACAGTTTATATTATTATTATTATATTATATTATATATTTTTTGTTTCATCGTCAAGTATTATTCCAATGGGTTTTGCATAGTGTGGTACACAGATCTTTGAGCCGGGAAAGTGAGAGCACTTGTATCAGATTGGTACTTTGTATCGAGTTGAAGTATTGGAATTGGTATCAGGAGAAAAAATGTTTGAATGGTTTCTACTTACAGCCATTGTAGATTTGGAGGACCTTGTTTACAGTAAACTGAAAAGTCTTTCTGCTGCATGAAACAGCATTGGGACACAGAATACATTTGAAAATCAGAATACATAGACACAGAATAATAATAATAATAATAATAATAATAATAATAATAATCTTTATTTATAGAGCACTTTTAAATCCAACGTTACAAAGTGCTTTACATAAAGCAGTTATGACATAAAAACATATATAAAACAATATAAGAAACAAAAGTCACTTCAAAATATACTTCAAATAAAATCAGGTAAAATCAGGGAATGCTCTATGATAAAAGTATGTTTTAACAAGGGATTTAAAAGAGTTTATAGAATACATTTGAAAATTCTAAATAGTTTGCTCTTTAAAGAAAAGTTGGGATTTCTTTTGTATAAATCATTAAAACTGCAAAAGAGAAAAGAGTGAAATTTATATTTTTTTGATATTTCCATTTCGTCTTTTTAATAATAAAAAACACTTACTTTGACATGTTTGACTACAAAAAGGGATGACAAATTGTGATTTCAGCTAGACTATATGTAATATATATTTTTTCTGTGGATATTGTTACAGTTCCTTCTCTATTACTCCGCTTTTGCAATTAGCACACAGCACACCTCTGCCCCCTTCTAAGTGCTCCACTGCTCCTTTTGGTCAAATTTCACCATTGTGCTCATGTGTACCATTTATTCACCCTCTCTTGAGGCAGCAGAGAAGGAATACTGCACTTAGGGAAGCTGCTTTTTTCATTCTTGAGATTGATGTGTTTGAAAGATTCAGAAAAGCTGTTCATGTATCATGTTTTATTCGCTTTGGCCAAATTAATGTCTTGAGGATTTTATGTGTAATCAACTTAACACAAATCTTTACTGTAGATACTTGTGGATTGTGGTAGCCTGTTTGGTCACACTCAATAGAATCTAAAGGCTTTTTAATGGTCTCTGCCAAATTTTTAGATTGAGGATTGTTAGTGTTGGGAAAAGGATTGCGGAGTGCCAACACTCCTCCGGGCAGGCTAGTTCAATACGTGTCTGGAAATGGGCATTTTGTTCCCTTTTTAATTGTGCTTTGTGGAGGTAAGTAAGAGTAGAATTGGCTGCTGAGTGCTGAGAGTGTGTGAAGCATGCTGGCAGCTTCAAACATTGCGTTGGAGGAGCGGAGGCGGTGATGTGGGGGCAGTGTCAACACCCACATAGTCTGTCTGCTCCAGGCTCTCGCCTCTGCAGCCATTAAAATCCCCCCCTTGCTCACCCCATTCCTCACCCCTTTCACGTTGCTCTGAGGAGAGAAGGAAGGAAACAGAAGGACAAGAAATGATCACACGGTTATGCTCTATGGTACCAGGCCGTGATAACAAACCTATCGGCTATTGAAGGTGTAATTCATTGAGGGGTAAGCATCTATGGTCACTCCGCTTTTATTTTTGTCTTGGTATGTGAGTGACAATGTCTCAGACAGCTTGGCCTTGATCTTAGACTGCTTTTCCAGTTCAGCCTTTCCTTAAGTATCAAGCTGTCAGAGAATTACAGGAATGTCTGGCCTTTTCCCTTTTTAAAAATGTTTTTTTCCACAAACCAAGAAGAGAGATTTAATACAATTTATAATTTTACAGATAGCCTCACGTAGCTTTAATATATACTTACGAAATACAAGTCACCTTTTGATCTCCCATTTAAGTTTAGAGCTCTAGTGCTTTGACGGATTTATGCTTTGAATTTAGTCATTCCCTTTATATATTTCTGCCTTTCGATATATTGTTTTGGCACTTCATTCAATGGAAAATAAATTTTTAGTACAGCTTCACATTTCAGGTTAATAATTCAGAGAAGGGATATACAGTAGCTTTTGTTAGAAAGTATATTCTAAATCTCTCCAGAAAATACATAGCTCCCTTTATCTTCCCATTTGTCACTGGCTTGCAGTACAAAAGGCTCTCTTGTACCCTACTACTCCCAGCCCTTGGTTTGGCATTCACCTCTTATTGCAGTGACATATCTTTAATAAGATATTAGGATAAATTGCCTTGATTTCACCTCGGCTCTGTTTCTTATAACACAGAATTTCCTGAGTCCCCCCCCGCACTGAGGCTGATGGTTTGTGCCAAACATACTGAAACTGTTAAGCACACTGGCTCTTTAAGCAACCACAGGGGTGAAGTATGATGGTTTTCAAAGAGTAGCACGGCTCTTTGAAGTGCCGCTGCCAGGATCTACCAGGTATGCTGCATCAGCACTCTGAGAGCTTCTGCTTCACTCCACTGCATGTCTTTGTACACCCACGGTTAACTTTGGGATAATTTCTGACGTCGGACCTCCTGATGCATTTAAGTTGAGTTCCATTAAAATTACTAGTGAAATAGTGTGAGACGTTTAAATCACAAAAGACAGTCAGACATTTAGAATACAGTCAAGGAGCCAACATCATAAACAACAACCAGTTTGTTGTGTTTGGTAACTTCTATATATTATCAAACAGAAAGGATCTTATCATTATAATAATTTTGTAATTTTACAAAGCAGGGTTTTTTCTTAGTTTTTAATAATTTTCTTTGTTTCTACAGTTCTAAGTTTGTCTTGTATTAGTCAAGTGAACACTCATTAATATGTCTTAGGCTGCATTAGCACCCTGGCCACAAAACTAGCTCCCCATTTTCTTCTCTCAGTACACACAAATGACCGGAAACTATTGTCTCAGCAGTACAGTGTTCACTCCAACACAACTAGAAGTGAGAAATATCACAACCCTGTTTATGCAGGGTATTTTTAGTTCCGTTCAATACTTTGTTAGATTGCTGTTTGACTTGGTCGAATTTTTTAAGGACATACCATTCCAAAGGATTTTATGACCGCCAATTTGCTGAACCAACAACCCAACTAATCAGAAAAATCTCTGGTGAAAATTTAAAACGTCTTTCATGGGGGACAAAGTCCCCACAAAACTGGTTTGATGTCTCTCTTCCTTTGAATTTAAAAGGAGAGAAGTTTTTATTCACATTGATTGGAGCCAGATGTGGTAATAGGAAGGAGAACCCTTAAGGTAAGAATGAGGGAAATTCCAGAGAATGGATTTAAGTTTTTAAGCGGATACACACACCTTTGCTGCTACACACGTCCCACAGTGAGCAGTATTAGTGTGCCAAATGTGTGACGCTCAAGTCGCCTATGAATCAGCTTGTCTATAACTTCTTAGTAGCTACCAACTAGTTTAAACTAGTGATTTACTACACGTTGCACCATTAAACTTGATAAATGTCTTAACTAGTAAAGACATTAGTAATGTGTAAACTGGTTGCGAGGATACATCTCTAGTGCCATCCAGTCAAAAGCAAACAGCTATGTAAACAACAGGAAGTCACTGCAGCATCACAAGCTGTAACATCATTTCCAAATATAACAGTTTTTAGGGGCCAAGAGAAGTTATCCAGATAACTCAGTAAATCTGTTTCTTAGACCAGGATCAGGATGTTGCTCATCACTGCACTAACTAAAGCATCAGCATCCCTGTCTAGACTGCTCCTACAAACAAATTTTTTTTTTGTATTTTAAGGACAGCTCTATTGAGTGTCATGTTGTTGCAATAAAACAGGGTAAACAAACAACTGAGTAATGGCTAGAAATACCCTTGCGCTTTTCAGGCGGCTGATGTTTACACTCTCCAGGGAGGGCTTTAAGATACTGTTGCATGATGTCATCTCAGACGGTCCACTTTCCCACATTCACACTAGGTTAGATTGATGCCGCACGTGCTGTGCTGTTCTACAGTAAGTCATATCAGCATATTAAAGGATGGCGAGCACAGCGGGGAGTAAGCTGACACCCACGAGCAGAAGTCCGTCAGGAAGGGAAGTCCCAGATAGTTGGAGCTCCACACATGTGCTGCACTAGTGATGAGAAACTCAGATGTAAAACAGTTTTTCCTATTTCACTGGTCACTGTGTTGGACTAAGAACTCATACAGGTTTTAAATTCATGGGGATCTGTAGTATTTTTTGCGTGGTTTTGTGCTGACAAGCCCTGTCTGAAAAGACTTCTCCTTGGGGTCCTACTGCGACATTGTACTCACGGAAAGCATATGCTCTTGACCGGAGAAGAAGTCCGTTTTAGACCATATGCTAATAAAATAGTAGCACTGAAGGTCCCTGTGGTCCAATGTGCAAACTGCAGCCAAGCTAAAGGAAATGACTGCTGTAAACAAAGAACGAGTTCTTGTTTTGTCTCCTGGCGTTGTAGGATTTCTGGCCTTGCAAGGTTCACAGACAAACCTTTGTTTCCAGAAGCTAAAAAGATTGAATTGACCCGCGGTCACACCAGTTGTTTTTACAATATATGTGCCATTATGTGAACTGAGAAATGCATGGGTGGATAGCATGTTCACATGAGTTTAAGATCCCTTGTGTCTTTGTTAGGCCACACAGGGCAGGATTTTTTTTATTATCCCACAGTGTGTATTGTTCAAGATTAATTGAATTCTAATTTTAGAGCTTATCATAGCTTGGTTCTAAAAATATAGCAGCTATTGTGATTTCAAGACACAGTGTTTTCTTTTACCCTAGACCAATGGACAAATGTTATTGCTTGTAATGGGAGGAATTTCCAAGAACTTTTTTTGTCATTATGACCCCCAGGGATCCCATTTCTTCTACTGCACTTGTATCTCTCTCTCCTTTTTTTTCTCTTTTATATTTTTCCTCGCAGTTCTCAATAGTGTTCTTTATGGCATTATTTTTGGCTGAGATGGCACATATACAGAAGTGCTACACACCAAACTCTACATAGACTCAATTTAAGCGTGTCTGAAAGGGAGGCTGGTCACCTCATTGCTTTAGCAGGGGCCAAAAAGGAAAAAAAAAGGCTGAAACGGGCTTAATTCTAATGACAGATAATCCAGTTACAAACTCGTGGAGCTCGTCAAAAGGTTTGCTTTTCGGGTTGTGGCTTTGTGATGTGAATGGAACGTGAAGCTTGGGGAGCACTGAAGCAAGGAGGAAAGGTTTTTAGTTCAGCCTATGCTTGCCACAGGCTTGCCCTCTACTTTGACTCTGATTTGCACACTTTGACTTGAGGCTTCTGTGGGCCCCGACTGGGAAGCTGTGAGCTGTCTTGTCTTTTTTATGTTTTGCCAGTGGTGTGGGGGAAGTTAATTAGCCACTGCCACATCTCTGCCTTGGTTGGGTTGTAAAATAATTGACATGGAAAAGATACTATTATGGCTCACTGTTGATCCACTGAAGCTTGCACCATCATGCAATATTCCAGCTAATTAAAAGCTATTGAGATAGTAGTAAGTCAGTAGTAGCTTCATTTGAGAGTACATAGATTTAAGCAAAGGAGAGCACAAATCCCACTTACCCATTGACAATATTAGAAAGAAGGACTTTTGTACCATTTTAACATTATGCTATGTTTGTCTATGCTCTATGTCTAAAGTAGGATTCATCCTAACCAAATGTATTAAACTACCAGTAGTAGTAATAGAAACAAAGAATCCTTCAGAGTTATAATAGAACATCTCATGTTCACACAACTTGAATTTTGGGAAATACCCTTATTCGCTTTTTGGAAACAGGGGGTAGCAGCTAGTTTGGCTCAGCCCAAAGATAACAAAAATCCACCTAAAAGCACCTCAAGAGCCATGCTAGCTGTTTCACATTTAATAGAGCGAATTTAAAGTGGTGTCTATCCTGTCATCTAACTCTAAGCTAGAAAGCAAATGAGCATATTTCTTCAGGCTGAGTTATTGAGGGCTTTACAACATGGGGTAAAACATTCATAGATATTCAGATTCTCTTAGAGTGCAGATAAGAAAATACTGAGCGGACACATGTACAAAGATGGTATTAACTGCAAAGCAGTTTGTATTATTCATTAGAGAAAGTTGGTATGTGTTTTGTTTTTAATTCTATCTTTTCACTTTCTTCTCTTCATTTCTGCTCTCCAAGCCACAGGACGCTGAAGGACGAGGAGGGTCTTTGGAATGGGCAGATGCAGAGTGCCTATAGCTTGGTAACAGGGGTGAACCCCCAGCAGTGCTACCAGCCCACCCAAGGAAGCTACCAACTTCAGTTTGCTATCCAGAAGCTGCAACAGCAAAGACTTCAGTCTCGACAATTTCTGGACCAGAGCCATTGCCGACACCAGGTATAGAAGACAATTTTGTTTGTTTCCCCCGCGTTATTACATTAAGAATATGATTGTTTAATGACTACATTTATTAGCCAAACTCCCCACATGTATCCTATCCACAGAGCACAGGGAGCTGGTAAAGACCAACTTTCATCCTCAAGTACATGATAGCTGGGTAGTTAATTTCAGACACATCGGCTTGAACCTTTGGTTTCCCTGCTCACTGCTCACTGCCCTGGGTGTTTAGAAGCTGTGTTTCAGCAAATTCCAGCATTATGTTGCTGGGATTTATTTTTGATGCAATTTGAATTCCTCATGGTATGTTCCTTTTAAAACACGACCTTTTTTGTTTTGTTTAATTGGGATTTGGTAAAATATTTAAGAGAAATGTGTCTTTCAATTATTTTTTTGTTTTTTTGTTCTTACTTTAATGCCAGCACCACATGGATGAAGACTGTGTATGAGAACTATTGAGCTATAACTCAGGAAAACCCTCATTTGTGTGCACAGAATATTCGCTTACCTAAGCACAGTACTGTCCAAAATAGTCAAAAATACACCCACATCAAGGGGAAATCTTTCATGTTAGCATTTACAAAGCTATTCTGAGAATTCCTTTCCAGACCACTTAACAAAATGGTGTTCAGTGGGAATATTCTTCTCAACAGAAGCTCATTCCTGGAGAGCCAAACATGACTCCTTACCCGAAGATTACATTGTTTAGTGACTCGGCTAGGCTTATATTGGAAGATGAGTAATCAAGGAATGCTGTCCATAATGGAGAGGCCCCAGTACAGAGTCCATTATAAGTTTGAAGTCTTCCCATTACAGTTCATATCAGATTTGAGCTCCATTTGAGTTCCCATTGCAACCTACAGTCTATGATTGCAACACAAATAAAATTTTGGGATATGATTTTCTCAGCAGTAATAATGTAGTGACAGAAAACCTTTTAGTCATGCCTGACTAGCCGTGACAGATGTGATTTGACTTTGGTTTTTAGAGGACATTTATAAAGGTAAGGATGTCTCGTCATTTAGCACAGCATCATTTTGATGTTTAGAGAAAAAAGATTTCTCTCCGTCTTTCTGTACGGTTGCTTTGAAAGAGGATCTTACCAGGGCGAGTGTGCTTGTTCATTTTCCAGAGGATTTTGTGGAGTCCATCTATGGATGGATAGAAATGGAGACAGGAGAATGCCATGGGACAGCTTACAGGGTGGGATGATTGGATGCACCCACTTTTTTCCGATCTGTCATGAGTAATGCAGTTACTCTCACGTCATTGTTTTCTCATCATCTTGGTTGGGCCTTAATTAATGCAATTGAGGTGATATTTCTCTTGGCTTGGTCTGGTAGCCTTACGCAAGGCACTTTATGAAAGTGATCCCGTGCCTTTCCTCTGTTCCATTCCCCTTCTCATTTCGTCTCACAGTCTGAGCACAGTTGACCAAGTTTCTTTACATACTCCAAGCATATGGAGGCAAGAATGTCTTGAACAATCTGAAAAGGTTTGTGGCATGAAGGACTACATATGGAGTTTACAACAGAGCCATCTTGTTGTTCAGCCCTCACAAACTGAGGTCATAGGAAGGCTGACTTTGGATACGGTTGTCTCACCATCAAATCAGAGATCCCTCCCTAAAATCCTTGTCATCCCTTCGAGTTTGTTCCACCCACATTGGGCTTTCTGGTAGCCGGTCCTAGCAATGTGTATCTTTATTGAAACTGATGTCTTCCATCCTTCAGACGATATATGTTTTGCTATTTTACCCACTTTCTTTGCAGTTGTACTTCATATTCCTGAACTTGCCTCATGGGAAAATTAATTGATCATTTTGGTTTAACTGAAAACACAAAAGGAAGTGCTTCATTCAGCGTGAGTGCTCATGTACATATATGTGTATGAGTGTGTACTTCTGTGAGAGAGAAAGAGACAGGGCTGTTCCGGCGCTCCAATCCACGTTCCAGTTACTGGGTGCAGACTCTTCGGCTCCTCCACAGTCTTGGCACTGGGCCACCTGGCAGCCAAAGAAAGGTGCCCTTACTGGTCCCGCTCAAACTGAATTGCGGCCATAGGCCTTGCAACCTGGAAACCCAGCTTCTCATTTATCAACACACAAATTACATCAGATATTCCCTGTCACACTGCCGGCCCTTTGAACGGCTGCACTGTGAAGCTGGAAAACCATTAGGTTGTTAGATAGCCGTATAAAGCTGCAGAGAAAATAGCGTAGGCATGACATGTGGAAGGAATGTATGAAAAGCATTCCCGAGCACTGCAAGGACAGAATGAAATGTGGCTCTAAAATATTATGTCAGAAAGAAAACGGTATTTTACCCCATCCCAAGCCTTTGATGAGATCTTGTACAAACAAATAAATAATGTGAAGAATTTGCTTCTCAGTGCAGCCAACTGCAAAAAATGTTGAGCTTGTTTTGATAGTGGATGGCATTTCATTAATATCTGCACTAATTCATGTCAAGCACTTTGATATTTAACCCTAATGACCAGAGACCAAAATTTCTTCTCATGACTAACCCATTCCAAATGCGATTGCACTTCCTTATTCCTCTTTTGGAATTAAGATTAATTTTACATACTTCTGAAAATACATAGGCCACACACACACACACACACACACACACACACACACACACACACACACACACACACACACATACAAACATATATATACTGTATATGCTTAAGGGCAGAGTAGGGTCAAACTCCCAGCACCTATACACTAAGAATATCCTTTTTCAAAACAACCATATGATTTTACTCATAAAAAGTATTCTGTTGCTTGACCATTTAAAATTCTAAAAAGATGTATTGTTGCTACATACGTAACTGTGTTAATTATAGATTGAATCATTATTTGTTTCATCATAATCTTTTCTTACATCTGACACCTGCCCTTTAATCAAGACCCTATTACAGGTGATTTTAAGAAGTTTGGTTGTGAGCAGGTTTACTATTTGAGGCAAACAGTAGATTCAGTCTTACATAGATGTAATGAAAGTCAGCAAGTCATGTATTAAATTTCAACATTTCTTGACCAAGTAGATTCCAAGGTATGTATCAAACCTGTCATCAGATTATAGCACAGCTTACAATGAACCTCAGATTTCATATTTTTTCCATGTATTAGGAGTATGGTCCAAGGATCTTCCATCTTCTACTATTGCAATGTTGACATCTGATACTACATCTGATAATACTCCAAATTGTTTGTTTATCACATTTCAATGAAGCTGAGAGCAAAGATGCATAAGCGGAAAGTTAACTAATCTACGCAATGCTTTGTCCCATCGTGATTGAAATTTCTTATTTGGTAGGCTTAATTTACCGGTGTACAAATTGTGAACAACTCCTTTGGTAAGGCGTCTTCCTTGATATGCTGTTTGAATACCTGATTGTAGATCTTTTGCAGTCTTGTCGCAGTAGTGTAGACAACAGTTGGCCGCTGTGGTTCAGGAGGTAGAGCAGGTTGACCGTTAATCGGAAGATTGGCTGCACGTTAAAGTGTCCTTGGGCAAGATACTGAACCCCGAATTGCCCCTGGTCGCTATTCAACCAGTGTATGAATGTGTGTGAATGTCAGCTTTCATTTGAGCACTTAGGCTCAGTGTATGAATGTGAATGTGATGCAGTGTAAAAGCGCTTTGAGTGGTCGCAAAGAGTAGAAAGGCGCTATACAAATACAGAGCATTTACATTTACAATTACAATGAATGTCACATGGGTTCAGTAAGTACATGTTTTCTTGGATCAGAATTGATTACGAATGGTTGATCAGTGAGTAGTCATCATTAGTAGCGTCTCTTATGGGACTGACCTATACTGCCTGTCCATAAAGGTTTAACTACAATCAAAGTTATCATTGCAAACTAAGGTGATAAAAGTGTCAAAAGTAGTTTGGTTGCCTCAATGATTTTTACCTTAGCATATAACATATAACATAACAGTTGTCTTTCTTGTTTCTTAGGCTCAATTTCCTGATCCCACAAACTCATCCAGCTGCCCACTGCCCTTTCATGTTCGGCCTAACCACAGTCATGGCCACAGCCACATCCAAACCTGTGTTAGTCCTGTTCTCGCCCCAAAGCCGCCCAGCAATGCCAGAGAAGGACAGATCAGAAAAACGGCAACAAAGCGCTTCATCAAGTAAGACCAGCCTTGCTGCTGAATGCATTTACTCCTGATTTACTTCTTTTTGATGCCTGATGCTACTTAAATCCAGTATAGCTGAGAGTTTAACACAGTCACAAGAAAATTCATAGAACATTAAGTGATTGCAGTGGGGTGGCATTGATCGGCCGCTGCTTGTGGATCGTGATAAAGTGCATGGGATCGGTGAGTTCAAGAGGACATGGCCAATGCTAATGGAGTTAGAATTTGTGTGTAGTGGAGTGCTCCCAGTCTTTTGGCCTCAGGGTGTATCTGCCTGTTCAGTAAACAACCTCATCACAGGCCTGATTTCTGCCTGAACCGTAAACAGAACGTGGTTCAGTGGAAGGGCCCGGGCTCTGAGCGCCGTTTAAATCCTGTTTGGTTTGGAGATAAGCTGAAGAGCACAGAAGGGAAAATAAAAGGAAAGGAGTGAAACAGGGCTGAACTGCCAGCTATTTCCTTCAATTACTTTATGACTTTATTACTGCAAGATCTGGCCAAATTACACAACAACAGCAAACCTTTGTGATCAGGGCGGATTGTTTGTTTAAAGCATGCTGTTGCAGTGGTGAAGGACTCTTCACAGCCCTCTAATGCATAAGTGGGAAGGGCATGACTAGATTGGAATAAAGACAGTTTATATTGTATATGACTGAAACCCATACTGTATGCAGTATCAACTATCTGACTGTCCATCTCTGTGTGACTTAATTCATTAATTTGCAGACATTCTGAACAGTAGCACTCAGGTAGCACTGAGCAAAGCCCTCGCTCTGCTGACGTGTTAACATTCAGTCATCTTACTTGACTGGACAAACTGGACCTGGCAAGAGAAGAGTTAAAGGGGCAGTGGTGCAGCCCAGGGGTTGTAGACTAGGTTAGGCAGCCGGGTAGGTGCTGTGTTTGCTCCTGTGTGTGTGTCTTCCTGGCAGTGGCTGTGTTTACCCTCTGCATGTGGAATTCCAGAGCCCCCTCACACTCTCCTCTGTCCTGCATTTTTGTGGTCGACCAGTGTGACAGGGGAGAGTGTGGGAAAAACGGAAGCTTCAGGACCAAAAATGCACCGATGGAAACAATGAAAAGAAAGAATACAGAGAGGGGAAAAGAAAGAATGACAGAGAAAAGTAAACCCAAGCCCAGGAGAAAGGAGATGATTGTTTGCAGAGAATGGTGGGATAATAGGTTGCTTCCCTTTATTTCCAGCGCTCATTTTAGGGGCAACTCAATACCTCTGTTATTGAGGCACATCTGAAATGCATCCCAGTGTAGGCCTAAGCTCCTCCAGCTTATAATAGAATCACTGTGCTGGGTGTACTCAAACAGTTCAAGGTTATCCAGCTCTCCAAACACCTTCCTCTAGCCAGCTGTTGAACTGTAAGCTGTTGTTTGATACAGATTTACCAGCACTGGCCTCACCTGGTCCTCCCATGAGTAGTACACCACTGGTGATCATTGACAGTTGTTAGTTGAATCTGTTTATTGGTATGACATTTGGTTTTTGGTCTTCTTTAAGAAAGAAAATGAAGTGACGATTTCTGTTGACACAGGCATATGATTTCCTCTGTTTGAAGGCCTGCATGACAAAATCCCACAAGAGTGCTAGCCAATCAGCTTTATCTGAAACTGCTGACTTGTGTCCAGTGATTGGACTGAGTGACTAGTCAGCATTCAGTTGTAATTAAAGGTTAAAAGAAGCTAGAAAAGACCTTGGCAAACTTTCTTTTAAGCTCAACTAACATGTGGTACACTTGCTTGAAGCAAATGTGCTTCATGTTGGTATCTACTCAGCAGGGCAGGGCTCTCTGGTCTATCAACATACCACAGCTGCCAACTCGAGGGGCTGCAAGGACTCAGAGTAGTATGACTTCAGTGAAGGCTTTGAAAGGAGCAATTTGTAACACAAATAAATGAGCCTGTTTGGTATTTTGTTTGCAAGGTTTGGCGAGACGCAGCTGTAACTACGGAAACCCGGGCTGTCGTGTGGCATTACTAATAGGGTGACAATTACAGCAGCACCATTAATGTCAGCCTCGCTGCTGCTTTCACTCCCTATTAATCAGCCACAACAGTAGTTATTTTCACAGGATACTGTATACACACAGAAGGTGCCAAACGTGTGTTTATGGTTAAACTTTATCACTGTTGGTCAGCCTGAATAACATTAAGACTAGCTACCTGAATACACAAAAAAATCAAAACAGCTATATTTATGTCAGGACTAAAATTGTCATCTTTAGGCTTTTATCTGGGCATACTACAAGTTCAGATTTTGTTCTCACCTTCAGTGTTTCTGGCTGCTGCCTGACTCTTGACAGAGTGAGAGACTGTTGACAAAGAAAGTGATGTGAAGAACCAAGAGGTCAAGTTTTTTTCCCTTTCAATATGAAAGGGGTTGCTTCCTGTCGAGGTATGCCACGCTTAAAGTGGGCCAGTTCTATTTGTGGTTGTGTAATGGTATGAAAGAACAACTGTGCAGCCCCTTACAAGGAGGTAGTGTGTACCCTCATTACCTTGTTAATGCTCCTTTGGCAAGCTGCTGTTATGGGGCGAGAGGTTAATGCCAGCTAAGCTTTATTTATTGTTCCCCCTAAAAAATGCTTAACAGATTTAATGTATAAGGTTACAGACGTGTCTGCTCCTGCTCTACGCCTCACCAGTTCTTATAATGGTTTACTCTGTGAAAGCACTGTATTTGTTGTATGATTATGTGAAAAGGACTTTGTGATTCCTTGTCTATGATCTCCAGACTTCGGTATGAAACCCTTCAGATAAATATACAAAGTAAATACTGCTGTTCTGATTATGCACCACATAAGAAAGACTATGTATGTGACTTAAATTGTCTGTAGTCATTGCCCACAGGTCCATATAGTAATCACCACAATAATCTTGCCAATGAGAAAATCACATCACCCAGGACAAGGATCAGGAATTTGCCCCCTTCTTGTCACAATAGCGCGTGAGAGGCTCTCAGTAAACACTTAACCCCCACTAGCCTGCACTGACTGCACACACAGAGACGCTATTTGAAATATTTGAACTTTTCTCCGGTCAGAAGATGACTCATCAGACACCATGCACACACACACACACACACACACACACACATATGCTCAAATAATCACAAGTTGTAAAAACCGTTATGTTCGCATATTAATTTAGCTCTGAGTAGAACAGTACACTGGGGCAAATCCATAGCGAGGTGTTCAAACAGCTTGGACCCGATGTATTGCTTTTCAGATACACTTTTGTCACTGTATAACCCCTCTGGGAATTATATTTTTGGTCTTAAGTGACAGTTATCTTGTGTCTGATTAACAGGCAGGCGTCCACAGAGAGTTCAGCCAGTGGGAGTGTATCCAGCGGCCAGCATACGGTCCATGAAGCCATCCGGCCAACAGGTGGGTCTGATGCTGCAATTCTACACACGCTTAGTACCGTGCTATAACTTGGCCTGTTGGTGCTGTAGTCCTTGTGCAGGGGGGACGTTATACCCTCTCTATGCCAGTGTCAGTGATTACAGCCAGGCATAGTGGACATTCCCCATGGAGGACTGATAAACACCGCTGGATATTTTTAGCCAGCTCCAGCATGCTCGGTGGTGTGCAGGATGTGTAAATGTATTTTACACACTGTAAAAGATAACTACATTGTCATAATAATAAAGAGTGTACACACTTTAATTACAACCTTGTTAAAGTAGTACAAGTGAGGTTTTATTGGTTATTATATTACAATGACTTGTGCCACGACCCTCTTTAGAGTTAATGCCAAGTGAAGTTAAAGCAGCCAGATCTTAATGGGTATATTATTATAAAATAAACAAACTTTCCAGTGCGGTAATTTTCTGTTTGATCATACAGTCTGTATGTATCCAAGACTAGAGGTCAGATTACTGCTGAAGGGTAAAGAAGCATAACAGTGATGACATTTTGTAATGAGATCCAGTGATGGGAACAGTTTGGGCATTCCCATCTGTCGGTCATTCGTAAGTAGTCGTAATTACTTTCCTTCCGCCAAAAAGGCTGTCCAGTTGTACCCCAGAAATTACACTTAAGAGAACGAAATGTGTAGCTCAGTCTTTGCAAAGTTTATTATGGGTAATGCACTGCAATTGTGGGTGCACGCACTCACGTGTGCCCTGTCATCCTGCCCTATTTCCACAACTCTTTCCATCCTGAGCGAAGTGTTGAGCTTATTGCAGTAACAGTGATATTAAGCAGTTGACGCTGATGCACACATCTGTTTGCCCAATCAAGGCCTTTTTTTCCATAGACCCACTATACATTAGCATTAGCAAATCACACTATTCATCACATCACGTGGGTGTCACAGTCGAGCCGACCCAGAGATCAGCTTGTTGGAAAAACACCCCCCCCCCCCTCCCCCAAGAAAAAAAAGGGTATGTGTGTCTGTGACCAGAACATTTCATTTCATTCTCCCTCTTCCCCCCCAAAACTATGAAGGCTGGCATAGGTTAACAAACATCTTATAAACTCATCAATTACTGTAACTGGATCCGTTGGGAGAAGCTTCTGAATTTCATGAATGCATTTTTTCCATCGTTCAGGGCGCAAAGGGTGGGGGAGATGCTTCGCTCTTGACTTTAAAAAAATGTCTGAATCAAAGATAAAATAAATCCCAGTACCAAAACCAGTTAACCATGTATTGAGAGTGGGACTGGGAGCTGAACAGAGACTCACTGTGGTGTTTTGGAGGGAGGGGGGTGTTATTAGAAGGGGCACAGTCTTTGTGGAGCTTAGGAGTGCATCAGGTCTTTCTGCCTGCCCAGTGTACCTTTGTAGCGAGATGACTGAGTTCCCCTGATCGACTCTGACAGGGAGTTAGAGTGGGTCCAAATGGAGAGCATTCTCTATGATCAGCTGTCAACCACCATTAATCACACTCTCCCTTTATCTCTCTCTTGTGCACTCTCTTAATCTCTTCCTCCCTTTGCTCATACAACTCCCCCTTTATCCTCTGGATAACTTTTCCTGCTCACTCACCCCATTTCCCCCTTTCCTTCCCTACTTCTTGTGTGTTAGTGTTTGACATGAGAGGAGGGGAGGGGTTCTGATGAGGGCCGATCAAAGCTTACAAACCTAGATTATATCGACCACATGTGTTTTACAATGCTTCCCTTGAAGCTTTCTTGAGATTCTTGGGTCTCCACAGCTGGTGACTGTGAGAAGATTTATTGCTTTCAGTTTGAGAAGGCAATGAATGCTGCACTTGTGCCATTTTAATGGGAGTCCGATCATGTTGGGACGGGTAGCTTAGGCCTTTCTATCAAAATAAAACAGTTTGATGCCTTGTTGGGAAAGGAAGGTAGTTATTGGCTGTCATAGTGTTTTCAGATGTATTACATAAGTTATTGGATGTTTAATTTTAGGCAGTCAATAATACACCTTTTTCATGCTAGATTACTTTTCTTAAATAATGTATTTTATTTGGTATCTTGGTACTTGTAGATAATGTCAGATGTATATACTAACAACAGTACATAAGTTTAGATTCCTTTGTATTGGAGTATAAAAAGACCCAAACTTAAAATAATTATGGTTGATAACTGATTATTCTGTTATTCTGTCTGACCTTTGGGGTTAGTTTGCCATTGATCAAGCTATTGACTTTATTTCTCCTATCATTTTTTGTTCTAAGTGTCATGTGGAGCGGGATATTGTCCCATTAACTTTCTTTTGCTGAGCTAGAGGAAGCTGCTTCCAGCGGTCATGTCATCAGATTGGAAGTAGGGGAGATGTTTTCGTTCTCCAGCTCAGTCAGGCCCCACGGTGTAAAAGAGCACCAAAATAAACAGAGTGTGCAGAGAGGGAATGAAAGGGAATACTGTTTGGGAGCACAAACACGGCAGCTCTAACTGAACTGGGAATGCCTTTTCTACTGGTTGCCTGGCCGTGTGCCAGCCGAAAGGATGGGGAGCAAGGGGGCTTAGAACGAGGGGACAGCCAGACAAAAGGCTGTTCACCGAGATGAATGAGCAGATTCGCTAGTAACCACCATGACTATAAATTAAGATCAACAAAACATTGACCAGGAGGGTTTTAGTATAAGTTTTTGATGCATATGCTTGACCTAAACAAGCATAAACACCTTGTGCCGCCCTCTTTTTATTAATTAGTCTTTCATCTGTTTCTTCCCAGGTCTTTCTGTATACCACAAGCTGTTCCAGGGTCAGGAGCCCGGTCACAGATGACATGAAGGCACCCAGAGGCACATCCTGCCCCTCTGTCAGCCTGACAGGTGTCTCTGCATGTAACTACATCCTCACAGAGGTGTATTCTGGGAAGGGACAACGGCAACAGATGAAAGCATGCCAGACATCGAACAGGGCCCTATTAACTTCTCTGTGATACAGCCACAGACATGCAAGAGGATAGTCTGTGAGTCCAGGAATGCCCAGCTTTGACGCAGGTTGGGATTTTGTTGCGCAGCTCAACATCAGTTGGCCTTTTCAGCTCCCCCCACCTCCCCTTTATCCCCCTTGGCTACATTCAGTCTATATCCCAACAGTTGTCCGCCCTCATTCTTGCCATGGTACTGATGCCACAGAAAGATTTCACTGACAGATAGCTTTCAGCAGATGGTTCTTCAAGCCCCAGTGGCATTTTAACTACAGGATTCAACGTTTTGTTCATGCAGTGGCATGTGCACTGCTAACCATTCATGTACATTTTTTCTTCCTAAAAAGTTATACAAACAGGCGAGGTGAGGTGAGGTGATGGGACTTTAGAAAAAAAATTTGTTTGATTTAATTTGATTGTTTGAACAGTATTGTATAGGTTGTATGAGCAGCTTCATATCTTGCTGCAATGAATGGTGAGCATGCAGAGACGTTCCTTTCATGTGTAGCTTCGAGCATTAAGACAGTCCAACCCCCGGCCCTTATGGCAAGACAACTTGCTGCCAAAACAGACTCTATGGTCATCGCCTAAGGATGTGTTAAAGTATAGAATTCTTTGCTTGTAGGTGTGAGCTTAAATATGATTGGTTGCTGCCTTGTTCCCTGTTTACAAGGACAATGTAACACTGTTGCCGGGTTTTATATCAAGAATTTAGTAAGCTTCTGATTATTCCTATAAACTGTTGACTTGTTGATGTTGAGTTTCTTGGATGGACCAAATTTAATATTATTATGAAGTAAATTATTGTTATTGCATCAGTAGTTTTTATTTACTGTACATTGTCCACTATTGGCCTTTTTGGCCATTTATGTAGCTCAAAGCATAACATAAAGAGGAATAATGGTTATGCATGAACATTCCTACAATGAAGGTTAATGCTGCACCAGCAGACCAATATCCTTAGGGATATTCTGTTGCTTGGGACCATTTAGTGAGTTCTCTCAGGGCGTGTTCATACAATAAAGCATCTCTGTTATATATCAATAGATTGAGCCTATGTTTATGATGACTTTGTCAGAAATACTTGAATTTCATGCATGTCTTTGTCACGTCAACTGATTATCATCAGAGTGATTTTGCACAGATCATAGTTTTTGATGCAGTACAACAGAAATGATTTTAATACACTTGATTGTGTTTTTGTGTAGTAATCGATGTTAAACTTCATGTTGTGGATTTACTGCTGTTAAACAAGCACATGCTATATTACAAGAATCCAACTGTAGGCTCCAATTCAATGTGTATATTCTCCTGTGGTGATACAAAGTTGTTTACAGTCTTATCATTTAATCTGTTTTGCTGTTTGTTTACAACACACATGCATGGAAATGTAATGTTTTTAGAATCATCCAGGCAGTCTGTGTCAAACAACATTGAAATGAATACCTAGAAAACATTAAAACATGCTGCTTATGTCAGTAAATGTATTTGTTCACCGTACACTGGAAGTTGTCAATCACTGGACTTTGATTTCTTCACTTTGGGTCATCTAAATTTACCCGATTACCCTTTAAAATAAAGTGCTCTAAAATATTTAATGCAAACAGACAAACTAACAATAATGAAAATAGAACAATTCTATCAAACTGTCCATTTTTTAATTAAAAAAACGGTGTTTCCAAGAGTAATAAGAAAGACATTTACAGTTTGTGATCTAGTTAAGTGTTCACTTAGTGACATACATCGTCTCATACAACAGAAAGGCTTCACTTTAAAACAGAACGATCCCTGGAATCACCATCCTGTTGTATTACAGAGGTAAACATAACCATGGAAATACTACTTTGAAATAAAGGTTGGTTTCCAGCATGTTTTCTTTTTTCCTAAGGTCATTTTTAATCAACAGCATTTAATCCTAAACAGTGTAGGGAGCTGTGGCGTGCACTGCGTCAGTTTCCAGCTCGGACATTCGAAGGTGTCCTGTGTGTCAGGGCCGAGGGAAACATCATTTTGTTTCCCCCCTCTTTGACGTATTCCTATCATACTGAGTTCAGTCTGCACTCTCAGTCATTTTTTGACTGCAATTATTGTATGTCCTTAAGAAAGCAGTGGTCATTTTAATATTATTGTTCTGTTCCTCTTTCATTGAAAATGGGCTTCGAATACCAACGTTATGTAACACTGAGGTACAGGCTACTCAAAATGCTGGGATATGCGAAAAAACAAACATGAGAAACAAGGCGATTGTGGAAGAGGTCTGATGGGTCTGAGAGCGCCGTTAGTAAAGTGGTGTTTGACAAGTCTTCTAGGTAAATGCTGCCAATGGTTGTGAGCAGAGTGGTGGACTGCATCTTTGTTTTTTCGTGAGAGAGCTCGGGCAAGGCCGACACAGGGGTTGGAGGCACTCGTGGAGGACAAATTGTACCGCGCCCCCTCTGACCCCTTATACCCGCTCCTGAGTAGTGCTGGGAGCAATCACATCCCATGTCTCTCGCCGGGCCCTGAAGCCCTGAAGTCTAGCTGCACTTGCAGGACTTGACGACCATGTTGGAGAGCTGCTCGACTTTAGGGGAGCGACCCACATAGTAGAGGATGGTGAGTGGCTCCAAGTCCTGAGGAACACAGCAGGGTGAGGCGGATGCTTCGGGGTTCAGGGTGTTGTACAGGCTCAGCAGCTAAGGAAAGAAGAGTAGGAGGAGATAGAAATCAGCAAACACTTTACCACAAACAGATTCATGATTTCAGTGTGCTGTGGCACTTTGTCTCACCGAGCTGTGGGTGGTGTCAGCGCTGCGTAGGTAAGGACAGGGTCCAGAGCAGAAGTTAGCATAGTACCCCTCAGGCTGATGGATCCACCTCCAGCCTAAATCCTGACGGAAATTAATATATAGTGGTCGCACACAGCAGTTCTCCTCGTAATTGCTGAAGAGACAATAGAGGACGGAGAGGATTACATTTCAGAGTTGTATACATTTTCCTCCCTATGGCCCCACAGCCAGAGGTGAGAGAGACGTTGAGAAATTCCACTCTTAGGTGTGCCCTTATTTTCCCCCTTGGAGTCAGCCCAGGTGTCTTTAGTGCTGCCTGTCAGCCTGAATTCAGAACTAAGGAGACGTCGTGTAAGAGGAGGTAGTGTTTGCTAGTACCGGGACAGATCCAGACTTGTATCAGCTAATACCTCTGTCATGCTCATCTAGGTGATTAACAAGCTCATTGTATGTATTCTGTGCCCACGTATTCCTCTTCCCTGCCATCTTTTTGAGACGTGACAGCTGATATTTCCATTTCATGTTGCCTTGGCTGAAGTACTACTTGCAAACATACCCCCTGTCTGTACAAGTGTAATAGTGGCGTTTTTTCCTTTGCAATACCCAGTGTTCAAATCTCTCCAAAACTGAGTGCAGGTGTAGCGAGAGAAATTATTTTACAAAAGACACTGAACAATAGTTCAAGCAGTGCATTACATTTCCCAGGATGATGAAATGTGTCTTACTTGAAGCAGTAATTGGTGTCAAGTGCCCGCTTGCGCCTGCGGGAGGAGGATTGGGCATCCAGCCTGTGGGGTGGGAGCATCATGAGGATGAGGTGAGGGTAGAGCTGCTCCTTGGGTTTTTTCACGTCATAGTCCGGATCCATACCTGCAGGAGTGACTCAGTTAGTCTGGAGGATACCAAAAATAACTGCCCAAAAATACAGAAGATTTGTTGAGAATTGTAAAGATCAAGTTCAAGAGCCGACTTCAATGGAACCACAGCTTCACTCTAATCAGTGTAGTCAACTGTAACATTTGCAGGAGGATCCTGTAATACCCGGGCACAATTTTCATCCTTCTTCTTATTCAACTCTGGTCCCTAACTTCCTTCTTTCCTCTGTTCTCCCCCCTGGGCCTGTGTCTGCTCATCCAATCTACCCCTGATAGTTAAAGCAGTGGATATCTCAGGAGAGATGCTGCTGGTGGATATGTACGCCTGTCTTTAATTCAGGGCCAAGCGTCTGAGCACCGTGGCAGCACATTCCTTGTGGCCAAGCCAGTCGGGAGTGTTCCCAGGACTGAGGGCCCGGGGGCCCCAGTGCTAAGTGAGATACCAGATCAATTGTATTCCCATGCTCTGTGTCTCTCTCTTCCTCTTAGAGAGGAAACCCATTATCTTACCAAAAAGGCCTCAGTAGGTATTATTGCTGCTGCAGGAACATGTTGATGACTGGATTAAACCAGTCTTCTAATAACGAGAGTATTGTGAGTGTTTTATAACCGGATTGTCATTCATGCTTGCACTAGAACATGCCCAGCACAAAGAGACAAAATCAAGGCATCTTCAATTTGGCAGTGAATACACAGAAACAAACTGCCTGCTGAGCCTTTCATGCAAATTAAGAAAAAGACAGACAACTATTTGGGCTTTCATCGATTCCTCTGACATTTGTAGAAGTAAATGATAGAGTTCACTCTGCCAAGATGCAAATACCAGATGGGGTGTCCTATAAAGGGCCTGTATAGAGTTTTTTTGGGCCATATTTAAAATAAAGAGAAGAACACTAAGCAGTATCCACTATTAATATAACTAACAATCCAAAAGTATTCATGAAATTTTAGAAACATCTGAAACAGTCCCTATAAACTAGACCCCCCCCCCCCCCCAAAAAAAAACAAAACAAACTCCTAGCATAAATTTGTCTTAAGACCCACTAATGCAGATCATCCTAAAAACAGCACTCCCTCAATAGCACTAATCAGAATAAGCCAAATGTTTCAACAAACATGAGATGCCTATCTGGAACATTAGACAAATCAAACACAAATCAAACAGATGTATATGTTATCTGGCTTTTGATCATGAATACAAACTGGCTGAACATTTTTTCACGGTGTGGGTTCAAAAGCATAGAAATCCAGACAAAATACAGACTTAGCGACCACAGTTTGGCCATAGAGACAGGACAAAAAATCGGGAAACGTGGACAACAGGCCAGACTGAGACTGAGATTTGCTCTCAAAACATAGCAAATTGAGTACAATACTTGAAAACGACAGGAGCTATTAATTCCCAATTTTTACAAAACTTATTCAAAGCAGAAAACATTTGATTAATCTAGGAGAGAGATGTGCAAGAATCAAAGGAATAATTAGACAGTTTTAGAAATATGTTTATTTTTTTTTCTTACTGCAAGTGAGATCAGAAGATTGATACCACTGTACGCTAAATCTGAAGCAGCTATCGGCAAGAAAACTAATAAGTGTATTTCCCATAAGCAAATTTTATAACTTCATATTATGTAGTTGCGTGCCATAAACTGAGGAGCAGACAGTGATAACATCCCACTGAATTTGACAGCTAAGAATCTTGACTCACCTATCACTATCTAACCAACACTAACCATTAACCGACCATTTTTTCTCTCACCCAATTATAATATTCATCATATTGGCATTATATAAATGTGTCTGTCAGTGTGAAAGCATGGCAATATTTGTTAACCTTGTTAAAATGGAATTTTAACTGAGTAAGGCAAATACATAACAAGCTTTAGGAAAACAACGGCTGATACAAATCCAGACCATCTTAATTTCTGTCACATCACTGATGTAATAAATGTAGTCTCACCTTTGAACTTGACTTCCAGCACCTCATTGGCATTCTCAATAATGTCACCATTAGGCCTGAAAGTATGGCAGGGACAATGCACATTGATCTCCAGGCCAAGATTGGTCTCTGAGGGGGAAACAAGAGCAGACGGTAAGGATGTAAGGAGGTGACATTTTTCCCTGAGGCCATTATCCTGCATGTTAAATGAACCGGTGCTCTTTGGCGGGATATGTAATAAGGTGAGATGCAAAGAAAATGTGAGGTGTCCCACTCACGTCGGTACATCAGCCACTCCCTCACGGTCTCTGTAACATCAAAGGAGACCCACTCAGGCGTTCCCTTGGTCAGGACGTTCTTGCCCCCAACGTAGCGCTGTTTGGCTTTGGGGTCGTCTTTCTGGAGGATCTGTGAGGAAAGATGAAAATGCGACCCAGCTGCATAAACTCTCTTTCTTTTACACACACACAGAACTAGAGCTGTCTGTCTGAGCCAGATTCTCCAGGATGCCTTGGGCCAAATGTCTACTCCTCATGGAAAAAGTGACTCCCTGTGTTGATATCCCCATTTTGCAAGTTAATGCCTGTGCGTTACCCCTCAGCCAATGAGAACCTGGCTGTCCTTCACATCAGCGGTTCAAACTTTGACTTTAGCTGGGCTCCCAGATGCAGTGTCATGCAGTTCAGAAAAAAAAAAGAAGTGCGGGCATTCAGGTCCAAACTGTGTTATCGAGTCTCCAAAACCCAAAGTGTACAAAACTGACAATGGGGGAAAACGCAACAATGTGGTTCAGACATTCCTATCTGCATCAGCACCTCCCTGAACAAATGTGTTTAGTAGTGAGAAATGTATGTGTTTGGGTGGTGTGTATGAGCCTTTAGCCCCACAGCAGTGCT